GTTAGTTTCCAGGCTCGGTTCCGTCCGGCAGCCAGAACTCCTGGTTAGTTTCCAGGCTCGGTTCCGTCCGGCAGCCAGAACTCCTGGTTAGTTTCCAGGCTCGGTTCCGTCCGGCAGCCAGAACTCCTGGTTAGTTTCCAGGCTCGGTTCCGTCCGGCAGCCAGAACTCCTGGTTAGTTTCCAGGCTCGGTTCCGTCCGGCAGCCAGAACTCCTGGTTAGTTTCCAGGCTCGGTTCCGTCCGGCAGCCAGAACTCCTGGTTAGTTTCCAGGCTCGGTTCCGTCCGGCAGCCAGAACTCCTGGTTAGTTTCCAGGCTCGGTTCCGTCCGGCAGCCAGAACTCCTGGTTAGTTTCCAGGCTCGGTTCCGTCCGGCAGCCAGAACTCCTGGTTAGTTTCCAGGCTCGGTTCCTTCGAGCAGCCAGAACTCCTGGTTAGTTTCCAGGCTCGGTTCCGTCCTGCAGCCAGAACTCCTGGTTAGTTTCCAGGCTTGGTTCCGTCCAGCAGCCAGAACTCCTGGTTAGTTTCCAGGCTTGGTTCCGTCCAGCAGCCAGAACTCCTGGTTAGTTTCCAGGCTCGGTTCCGTCCAGCAGCCAGAACTCCTGGTTAGTTTCCAGGCTCGGTTCCGTCCAGCAGCCAGAACTCCTGGTTAGTTTCCAGGCTCGGTTCCGTCCAGCAGCCAGAACTCCTGGTTAGTTTTCAGGCTCGGTTCCGTCCAGCAGCCAGAACTCCTGGTTAGTTTCCAGGCTCGGTTCCGTCCAGCAGCCAGAACTCCTGGTTAGTTTCCAGGCTCGGTTCCGTCCGGCAGCCAGAACTCCTGGTTAGTTTCCAGGCTCGGTTCCGTCCTGCAGCCAGAACTCCTGGTTAGTTTCCAGGCTCGGTTCCGTCCAGCGGCTTAGAAACCATCTTCAGGATCAGGTTTCAGTGTAAATCAGAGCCGGGCTGGTCCAATCAGAGCCGGGCTGGTCCAATCAGAGCCGGGCTGGTCCAATCAGAGCCGGGTTCTGGCTTGGCCTGTTTTTCCTGGTTCTCTTTTGGGCTCGTCTGTATTTATAGAGAGCTCATTGTTCTGCTGCCTTTTCGCTGCAGCTCCTCCAGAGAGCCCCTTCCAGGGTTCTGGTGAGGTCCGTGGCCATGGGGACAGCCCGGTCCGTTTCCCCCTCTGAGGGTGGGGCGGGTGTGTGCTTTAGGGGACCACAGTGGTTCTGCTGAAGCTCAGGTCGGGTTCTGCAGAACTGTCGGTCCTCAGGCTGCATTTGCAGGACATCTTGGTCTAGATGGATCAGATCAGAGTCCTTCTCCAGCAATAGTCGGGTTCTGTTCTTTGGACCTTGGCGGTTCTGTTGAGCTGTTTTCTGTAGATCCGGGTCCTCAGAATGTTTGAAGAACCAGAAAGAGAAAGTTCTGGTGATTAAAGGTCCTCCTGCATCTAAAGCAGGTTTGGGTTCCAGAACCTCAGAACCTCCACAGTTCTGAATTCCTCCAGAGTCTCAGAAACAGCTTTTTTCTTTTCTTTTCTTCTGCTATGTTCAAAGAAACCTGAGCTACAGGCCCCGGTTACCACGGCAACAGCCAAGCAAAACAGGGCTAGCATCCCCCAGTAAAGGGGCGGAGCTTGTTTCTGTTACTCAGAGGGACGGTAAGACATACAGGAGGAGGGGAGCCCCTTCAACCCTCCCTCCTCTCCTCCTCCTCTTCATCCCTCCCTCCTTTTCTCCTCCCATTCATCCCTCCCTCCTCTCCTTCTCCCCTTCATTCCTCCCTCCTCCCCTTCATTCCTCCTTCCTTTTCTCCTCCCATTCATCCCTCCCTCCTCTCCTCCTCCCCTTCATTCCTCCCTCCTCCTCTTCATCCCTCCTTGCTCTCCTCCTCCCTCCTCCAGCTCGTTTCTTTGCTCCTTTTCCAGATTCCTTTTCCTGCAGTCCAGTTATCGTCTCTGCTCTGACCTTTTAGTGTTGAGTTGAATCTGATAAAGGGGGCGGGGCCAGGTCACAGAGCAGGTCTTAGGCCCGGTGTAGACTTTAATTCCAGAACCCAGTTCTGGCCCGATCAGCTGAACAGCAGGAGGGAACCGACTGGACCCAGTTATTGTTGGTTTTGGAAAAGAGAGTCAAATTCTGTGAGTTGATGCTTGTTGTTTCCTGAACTCCTCGCTGCTGTTCTGGGTGCTGATAACGTTCCTGAGGAGCTTCAGCAGCAGAAACGTCGTCTCAGTTATCAGCAGAGATGGCAAAAGTACTCACTTTCCGTACTTGAGTAAAAGTACAGATACTTGTGTTAAAAAATACTCTGGTAAAAGTGGAAGTACTGATTAAACTTCTTTACTCAAGTAAAAGTAACAAAGTACAGGCTTGTAAATTTACTTAAAGTATAAAAGTAAAAGTAGAAACCACTTTTTTCATGCCGTTGCCTACATTTTAAATGGATGTCTGCCAATAGGACTAGATCTCAGTGGTGTTCATTTTCAATCATCTCGTCGTCCATGCTACTATGCTAACGCCACCGCCACCAAGCTGCAATGATTTGCCGCGAATGAATACCGCCGAATCTGTCGATTCATCTTGTAGCGGTGCATCAAATGCAACGTAGATTCCCATCCAATTAGATTGAATTTGGTATTGATGACGTGAAAAATAATAACGGTAACTCCATTGAAATGATTCAAAACTAAAGTAACGAGCCAATTTTTTAAAATGTAAGGAGTAGAAAGTACAGATATTTGTGTAAAAATGTAAGGAGTAGAAGTAAAAAGTCACCATAAAAATAAGTAGTAAAGTAAAGTAAAAATATAAAAAAAATCTACTTGAGTACAGTAACGAAGTATTTGTACTTCGTTACTTCCCATCTCTGGTTATCAGATTTATAGTCCCCCCCCCCCCCCACTTGCAGAGATATTAGAATCTGGGCTTAATGTCAGCCATTAAACAGGAACAGATCAATCTGGATCAGAAATACTTTAATAATTCCCAGAGGGAAATACTTAGTTACACGCTCCAGTTACAGTTTTATATAAAATATATATAAACACATCCAACTACACAAGATAATAAAGAAAAAAAGAAAAAAAAGGGATGAAATGTGTACACATATAGCTCTTCTGTATATATATGTATGTATATCTATGTATATGTAAAAACTAAATCCAAGTAAAGTGATACGTGGCGTGCAAAAATAGTGCATGAATGTCTATTACGGGGGGCGGGGTCTGAATCACTTGAGGGAGGCGTTATAGAGGTTGATGACCACCGGTAGAAATGATTTCCTGTGGTGCGTCTGGGTGGGAGGAGTCTGCTGGACCAGTGTGTCGTGGAGAGGATGTGAGTCATTGTCTAAGAAACCTTTAGACAAATCAAACGTTACGCCACATATCTGACTCAGTAATCATTAAAACAACTATTTTTATTAATTTCAGACGGAACTATTCACAGACTTGGATTATATTAAACTGCAATTCCAATATTCACCACTGTTTGGCGCCATTTCTCTTTTTCCTCTGAGCACGGAGCAGGCGGCCTGCTTGGTCTCGCAATGAATCCTGGGAAATCCAAGGATAGAGAGGATATGAGAGAATCCTCCTGATTCATCAGTTAACGTCTGAAACAAATCAGTAATGTTGCTACGGCTGCTGTGATTGGCTAGAAGCTTGACCTGGAGGCGGGTGCTACCTGGTGATGCCCCTCCCTTTAGCAAACACTGGAGCCTTTCCAGATGGACGTTGTGTAGAAGTTGATCTATCTGGTTTATGTTCCAGAACTTCCTCAGGATGAGATGTTCTTTAGCCAACGTTTGGATCAGAAGGGTTAGGGTTAGATCTACCTGGATCTCCAGGTTGTTGGTGGATCTCAGAGTTCATTAACCGGAGCGGTTTGGACCCGGCCTGCTTTGGTCTTTGGACCCTACCGTGGTTCCTTAATCAAACATTAATGAGCCTCTGAGTCGTGTTGCTTCACCTCTGCCCCGCGGTGGAACCAGAACCACGCCTCATGGCTCTCCCTGGAAGCGCTCTTAGATCCAGCAGCTTGGAGTCCAGTATGTGATGTTCTGGTCCGGATGGAGCAGAACCCGTCCTGGAAGCTGTCTCAGGCAGACATATGGACCCATTATTGTCCCATATGGACCAACCCACAGGACCAATGGACAGCAGGAGCCTGACAGCTGTCAGACCCCTCCCTGTGGCCCCTCAGATGGACCTGATGGGCCCCAACTTCAGGTCTGATGGGCTCTACCAGATCCCAGAGGTGGTATTGCTGTGGGAGCAGCAGCAGGCCAGACTGGTCCCAGTTTGTGGGCTGTGGTGTCTCCTTTATGAACTGGTTCTGACTCGTTCCTTTTTTTTGTCTTGCCTGTCGCTATTTTTTAGTTTTAACATAAAATTCACTCATTTTTATCTGAGGAGAGCCCACCTTGTGGGAATGAATGTGTCACATTTTCCTTAGAATCCTTCACCAGTTCAACTGGGTTCCTTGTCGGGTTTGTTCTTTATTTTTAGTGTTTATGGACATGAAGATGCTGATCATTAAGGTTTTAATGTAATCTGCAAACATCCAACCTTTTATCCTAGATTGTTTAAGATGAAAATCAGACTTAAACGGTTTCAGAAGAAGACGCCCAGAAAAACCAAAATACTGCATAATTGCACCATCATTCGCTGGTTTCTTTTAGTTTCACTTCCAGACCTTCCATACCTTCCAGACCTTCCAGACCTTCCATAGCTTCTATTTCACTGCTTGCTAAGCGGCTGTGGGGGGATCTTTAAGCTACATGGTAAAAAATCTCCTCCTGCACCTTTAATGCTCTGAACTTCCTTATCAAGGCGTTTCGCACCATGTTTTTTCTTCCCTGCTGTTTACATTTGATCAATAGTATAAAGCTGACAAAAAAGTCTTAGAAAGCTGTGATCTGAGAAAGGAAGGCAGGAAAATGGCCGAAAGGTAGAAAAGGAGGAGAAACCATGAAGACCTTCAGCCGAATAATAGCCACACCCCATCCCTCCGTCTCCATAGGAACGCCAAGAAGGAGTCAGACCTGGAAGCCGCCCTGCTGCGGCTGAAGGACCTGGAGGCCATGCTGAACTCCAAAGATGCTGCCTACACCACCGCCCTGAGCGAGAAGCGGAACGTGGAGGCCGAGCTGAAGGAGCTGAAGGCCCAGCTGGCCAAGGTAGTAAAACATCTGGACTCAGCAAAGTTTTATTTGGCTTGTGGAGAATTTCCTTCCTCAAAGTAAAGCTGATCTCTGGACGCTTTCCTGTCGCTTTGTGATGGCCTGCAGGGCGGCTGGGTTCTGCAGCCAGCTGTAGAACATCTGAAGATGTTTGTCTGCATCATGCAGGACCCATCAGTGAGGAAGCTGATCATGAATGAGGCTGTGCAGAGGAGACAGGAAGCTGCTTCCTCTGCAGCTTTTATCAATGAATCTTCCGTCAGAGCGGTGGCTGTGCTCCACCTGCTGTCCAAACAGAGGAACAGCATCTCTTCTCTCCAGGGTCACAGCTGCAAACATCATAAACGTTTCTCTGTCTTTGTGCTTCCCAGGTGGAAGGTAGCCTGGCCGACACCCGGAAGCAGCTGCAGGATGAGATGCTGAGGAGGGTGGATGCTGAAAACCGTCTCCAGACCCTGAGGGAGGAGCAGGAGTTCCAGAAGAACATCTACAATGAGGTCTGTGCTCCTGGTCCGTTTTCCTGCCCAAATGTTCTGTCCTCCATATTCCACTGAATCAATAGTTTAACTTATTATCTTGATCTGTGGCAGCTGCAGCTACCTGTAGAAACGATGATGATGTTTCTGCCGGAACCTTGAGCTCTAATCGGTGTCCTGCCATGCGTCTTGCAGGAGCTGCGTGAGGCCAGACGTCGGCACAGTTCCCAGATAGTGGAGATCGACGGCGGGAGGCAGCAGGAGTTTGAAAGCAAACTGGCTGAAGCTCTGTCTGAGCTGAGGGCGCAGCACGAGGACCAGGTTCGCATCTACAAGGAGGAGCTGGAGAGGACCTACAACTCCAAGGTACAGTTCTGCCGCCCCCTGCTGGTCGCTGGAGGAGAAGTTCCTCATTTAGAAGTTCAGATTGATCCGTTATAAGTCATGGGTCAGTTTTATTTAGGTTATAAGGTATGAGCGCGCTGAAGCACGTCCAGGTAAAGCAAGTATGTGGAGAAATTTCAACAGAGGTGTCAAGTAACAAAGTATAAATACTTCATTACTGTACTTAAGTACACTTTTAGGTATCTATACTTTACTCCATTACTTATTTTTCTTCCTACTTCTGACTTCTACTCATTACATTTTCACACAGTATCTGTACTTTCTATTCCTTGCATTTTAAAACAATCGTTCCTCGTTACTCTTGGCTTCAGTTTAATGCAGAGGTCACGGATTAGCGGACCACGGTCCGGATCCAGATCCGGATCCAGATCCACCTGCTGGCTAATCTGGACCCAACCTGATTTAAAACATTTACAGATTTACATAACAGAGTCTAAACGTCACTGCGCCGCTTCTCCTGTTACCCAGAAATCCCTCCGCTCTGCCCCCCAGCGCTCCGCCCCGCAGCGCTCCGCCCCCCCAGCGCTCCGCCCCCCCAGCGCTCCGCCCCGCAGCATCCAGACCTCCTTCTCAAAGCAAAGCCTCCAGCCTCCGCTGTTCCTCCGTATCGCTGCGCTCTGACTGATCCTCGGAGCTCCAGGAGAGCATGCGCCATTTTATCATTAAATTAATAGGAGCAAAACATGCAGAAATGAAGGCTTAATTTAATCTGACAGATTAAATAATCCCCATCAGCATCCAGCAGATGTTCAGTTTCTGATGGAGATGAGAAATCTGCTTCCTGGTCTGTTGAAGGACTAATAGTTTGCATCCAATCTTTGAAATAAACGCTGTTAGTTTATTGAAATGTAGAAGAATTATAGTTACTGATCTGTTGTTACTATATTTTAATTTGACAAACCGGATCTTCTCGCCGTTCTTTCTCCTGTTTGGTGCGATTAGAGGATCCGGACCTGGCTGGACCGGAGCGGAGCCTGAACATTTAGAGGATGTTTGGCTCAACCTGCTGCTGTGAAGCAGGATTCTCCACCATGAACAGAATCAACAATAAATCTGGATCCAGGCTCAAAATGAGCTCCTTGATATGTGCTTGAGAATGGCTTAGTCTCTGGTTAAACCCAGGTTTAAAGCCTTGCAGGGCAGCCTAAAGCCCACTGCCAACATTAAGACAGAAAAAAGAAAGAAAATAACAAACAATCAGTTCAGGGGTTTGAGAAAAAATTGGAATCAGGAAATTATCTATAAACCAAACTGAACGATTGTTGTTCTCTACAAATAAACACTTGAAATGGAAAATTTCTTTTTTTTTTAAATATTTTTTTTATTTAAAAATTCAATGTTTAACATGGATTCATAAACACCTAATTTTATTCCAGCGTTAAATTCTGTTTAAAGTAACAGATCATTAAAAATGTCTCCAGATCTTTACTGGTTGATGATTTTCTTTATTCAGACCCGCTGGTTTTTAATTGGTTCCTCTGGTTTAATGTTTCTAAATCTTTATTTCCCGTCATGCGCTCCATCCAATGCAGATCATTGGCTCCGCCCACATCCGGTGAAACCTAGTGTGATTGGATGAGTCATAGAACGCAAACACTCATTGGTTAGCTAAAGGAAATCATCAGAAGCAAGCAGGTGTTCTTCAAACTGCTAACGTGAATTGTCTATGCCATGCTTCAATGAAGGATTCAGAAAAAGATGTTGAAATGTCTGAAAGGTCGGACACAGGCGAGAGCGTATCGGGAGACGGAGACCAACCAGACCTCCCTCATCCTTGGCCCTATCTCAGAGGATTTATAGAAATAATCCAAAAATTGAGCTTTAATTCATATAGCAGCATCTGGTTGTTTTTATTAAAGGTTACTTTATACTTTTATACTTTAAGTAGTTTTTGGAGCTCATACTTTTTCACTTTTACTGGAGTAAAGAGGTCAAGTTGATACTTCAACTTTTACCAGAGTGTTTTTAATCTGCAGGATCTAAACTTCTACTGAAGTAACAAACGTGGAAACTTTTAACACCTCTGAATTTCAATGTTCAAATTTCCCTCCATCTGCCATCCGTGGTCCATCAGTTCCAGGTCAGTTATCTGATGGTCGACATCCGTTCAGTGTCAGTTCCTCATCAGTCGTGGCGTCTAGCTGATCCTAAACTTCTGAGTAACTTCTGCGTAACTTATCCAGAACTTCTCTCCAACATATCAGTGTATCCGCCGTGTTCCAGACGAACGCTGAACGTGTTTCTAACTTCCAACTACTGTATAATGGCGTATTGGCAGCGTTTTGGTATAAAGGGGGGGAACCATCAGTTCTCCTCCAGACTTCATCCCCATCATAGGGTGAGCCAGAAGGTGAGTGATGGATCCTCCCTGCGTTCACGCCCACCACCAACACACTTCCTAGCAGACATGACGCTCAGTCTCCTGACACCAGAAACCTGCTTTCTTTCTTTTCCCTTTTCTTTTTATTTATTATTTTTCTCTGGCAGGCTTTAAACTGCCAAATCATCAAGGTGTGACGGAGGCTTTAGAACATAATAGGAAGTCTGACAGGAACCCGGAAGCTGCAGAACTGATTAACAAAAGCAGAGATCAAATCTTTGATTGAATGAATCTGCAGGATCATGAATGTTTGTTCAATGTTGGTTTTATTGTTATTTTAAGTGGAACTGTTGAGAATCTGGAGACCCGTAGAACTGAACCCGGTCTGGTTCTGATTCCTCTGTCTCCATTTCTCAGCTGGAAAATGCCCGTCAGTCAGCGGAGAGAAACAGCCACATGGTCGGCGCCACCCATGAGGAGCTGCAGCAGACCCGCGTCCGTATGGAGGGCATGACCACCCAGCTGACCCAGCTGCAGAAGCAGGTACCGGTGCCGCCTGCTGCCGTCTGTCTCTCAAACCGGCCCAGGTTCTGATTCTGCTCGTCTCCACAGCTGTCGTCCAGCGAGGCCCGAGTACGGGAGCTGGAAGAGGCTCTGGCCCGGGAGCGAGACATGATGCGGCGCCGCCTGGAGGACAAGGAGCGGGAGATGGCGGCGATCAGAGCCCGGATGCAGCAGCAGCTGGACGACTACCAGGAGCTGCTGGACATCAAGCTGGCTCTGGACATGGAGATCAACGCCTACAGGAAGCTGCTGGAGGGCGAGGAGGAGAGGTGATTGGCCGCTTCTGCCTCTGTTGCAGGGGTCTTGCTAATGAGCCACACGGGCCTTTCTGGAAGCAGTTTGCCTTATTGGACCGGATCTGAACCAGGTTCTACCTCCACAGCAGCTCCAGAAGGGAAAGAACTTTAGACCACAGCAACGTCCTGCTGGTTGGGTTTAGTTCTTATGTCCAACCAGACCTAAGACTGACTTCCTCTGTCTGTTCCTCTGTCTGTCGGGCCGGTTCTGGTCCTCTGGACTTCAGCCAAGCAGGTGGTGGTTCTTAAAGAACCTCCAGGTGGAACCTAGTCGGGAAGGTTTCAGGAAGAACCGTAAGGTTCTCCTTATTGCTTCTTACCTGAGATCTTTGGACTCTGTGGGTCGGCCCAGTGAGGCCTGTCAGCAGAACCTCCAGCTGCTCTGCATCGACCATCAACCAGAACCGGAATGGATTCAGATTTCCTGGAACTGGAACCTGGATCAGGTCCAGGGAGACCTAAAGATTCCCAGGGGGAACCAATCCATCTAAACTGGTTGGACTGGGTGAAACGGTCCCTCTGAACTGGTTTGACTGGGGGAATTGGTCCCTCTGAACTGGTTGAACTGGTCCCTCTTTACTGGTTTGACTGGGGGAATTGGTCCCTCTGAACTGGTTGAACTGGTCCCTCTTTACTGGTTTGACTGGGGGAATCGGTCCCTCTGAACTGGTTTGACTGGGGGAATCGGTCCCTCTGAACTGGTTTGACTGGGGGAATCGGTCCTTCTGAACTGGTTGGACCGGGGGGACTGGTCCCTCTGTACTGGTTTGACTGGGGGAACCGGTCCCTCTGAACTGGTTGGACTGGTCACTCTGTATTGGTTTGACTGGGGGAACCGGTCCCTCTGAACTGGTTGGACTGGTCCCTCTGTACTGGTTTGACTGGGGGAATCGGTCCCTCTGAACTGGTTTAACTGGGGGAATCGGTCCTTCTGAACTGGTTGGACCGGGGGGACTGGTCCCTCTGTACTGGTTTGACTGGGGGAACCGGTCCCTCTGAACTGGTTGGACTGGTCACTCTGTACTGGTTTGACTGGGGGAATCGGTCCTTCTGAACTGGTTGGACTGGTCCCTCTGTACTGGTTTGACTGGGGGAATCGGTCCTTCTGAACTGGTTGGACTGGTCCCTCTGTACTGGTTTGACTGGGGGAACCGGTCCCTCTGAACTGGTTGGACTGGTCCCTCTGTACTGGTTTGACTGGGGGAATCGGTCCTTCTGAACTGGTTGGACCCGGGGGACTGGTCCCTCTGTATTGGTTTGACTGGGGGAATCGGTCCTTCTGAACTGGTTGGACCGGGGGGACTGGTCCCTCTGCTCTGGTTTGACTGGGGGAACCATTCCCTCTAAACCAGTTGGACTGGGGATACCTGACCTTGTACTGTGGGACGTTCAGTCTGAGAATGTTTCTAGGTCGGAAGTTCTGCGTCCAACCATCAGAAGTCGTTAGGCTGGTTAGAACCTGGGATGTTCACGGTGTCCCTCTGTCCCCCAGGCTCCGTCTGTCCCCCAGTCCCTCGTCCTCCAAGGTGACGGTGACTCGGACCTCCGGATCAAGCCACACCAGCCGCCTGCTCCCCTCTTTTGGTTCCGCCGTGGCTTCCAGCAGCCGCACCTCATCCAGCGCCAGCAAGAAGCGGCGCCGGGACGACGACAGTGAGACCTCCAGCATGGTGGGTGGTACTGTGACAAAGACCCGCATCAGCCAGCAGGCCTCTGCCAGCGGACGCATCACAGTTGACGAAGTGGACCTGGACGGGAAGTACATCCGTCTGAGCAACAAGGCTGATGAGGTAACCTTCCATATGTATACATTGGGTCGGGGAGGCGGGTCCACAGACAGAGAAATTTCCTTAAAAAATGAAAAGTGACAATTTTTCACTTTTCATTGGTGAAAAATAGTCAGAATGGTGACTGATGGCCTCGGTCATCTACAATGGTGTCTGGTTCTAGTAGCACAACCCAAGAACCATACTTTCAGTTTAAGCCAAAATGTCAGAACATTGTGATTCTCTCCCCTTTTTTCAAAAGATCGGACCAGTGAGGGTCAAAGGTGTTGACCCGTCTCCTTAATTCTGTTATCCTTTTGTTCTGGATCCTACAGGACCAGTCTCTGGGCAACTGGGAGCTGAAGAGACAAGTTGGAAGCTCCACTCCCATCGTCTATAAGTTTCCCAGCAAGTTCACCCTGAAGGCCGGAGCCTCAGTGACGGTGAGTCCGCCTCGCTGCTCGCCGGCTCCATTCTGGTGAGTCAGAACCAAACGGGTCAGTAACTCAGTCCCAAACTCTGCAGGTCTGGGCTACCTCTGGTGGGGGAACCCACAACCCCCCCAACCACCTGGTCTGGAAGAGCCAGGCCTCCTGGGGAACCGGAGACCTGCTGCAGACCACCCTGATCAGCGCCGGAGGAGAGGTCAGAACTTTGGCTCGGTTTGGCTTCCTTTGGGTTTGAGTTTCTCACACTGAACCTTTCCTCTCTGGACAGGAAATGGCTACCAGGAATGTGACGCGTACCTTGTTCCAGGATGCCGAGGCAGAGGATGATGACATGGTAAACTCTTCCTCTCCTGCTCCACCTTAATGTTGCTTCAGGTTTCAAACAAGCCTGCATGTGGCAAGGTTATAGAAGGCAGACCCGTTTTAGCGGCTTGCAAAAGCTGCAGCTGGATCAATGCGCACAGCTCCAAGCTGAGTAATAACAGCGGTCCTATTTTTCTGTACTTTGGACGCTGATTTGGTTTATTACAATGCCTAAGGCTGAAAAAAATATTAAAATCTAGCTCAGAAAAGCCACTGGGCTCATTTTAGGATGAGGATGATGATGTTAGCAAGGATGATGACGGTTAGCGAGGATGATGGTGGTTAGCGCATGCGCGGCTGAGTGGACGCTGGCGCCTTTTGCAGCCGCTGCTCTCCGCTTCCTGTTTTCAAGTTATTTTCTACGTTTTTATGGAACTTTGGGCTGTTTAATCACATTCAAGTGAGAGCAAAAACACTTGGCTTCGCTTCTATCGTCCTAACTTCGGCTGCCATCCCGTTGTTTTGTCTGAGTGTGGTTAACTAACCTTGATGGCGGTTAGCCAGGATGGTGGAGGTTAAAGAGGATGATGGCGGTTAGCGAGGATGATGGCGGTTAGCGAAGATGATGGAGGTTAGCGAGGATGATGGTGGATAGCGAGGATGATGGAGGTTAGCGAGGATTATGGTGGATAGCGAGGATGATGGCGGTTAGCAAGGATGGTGAGGGTTAGCGAGGATAATGGGGGTTAGTGAGGATGATGGGGGTTAGCGAGGATGGTGAGGGTTAGCGAGGATAATGGGGGTTAGCGAGGATGATGGGGTTTAGCGAGGATAATGGGGGTTAGCGAGGATGATGGGGGGTTAGCGAGGATGATGGGGGTTAGCAAGGATAATGGGGGTTAGCGAGGATGATGGGGGGTTAGCGAGGATGATGGGGGTTAGCAAGGATAATGGGGGTTAGCGAGGATGATGGGGTTTAGCGAGGATAATGGGGGTTAGCGAGGATGATGGGGGGTTAGCGAGGATGATGGGGGTTAGCAAGGATAATGGGGGTTAGCGAGGATAATGGGGGTTAGCGAGGATGATGGGGGGTTAGCGAGGATGATGGGGTTTAGCGAGGATAATGGGGGTTAGCGAGGAGGATGGGGGGGTTAGCGAGGATGATGGGGGTTAGCAAGGATAATGGGGGTTAGCAAGGATGATGGCGGTTAGCGAGGATGATGGCTGTTAGAGAGGATGATGGAGGTTAGCGAGGACGATGGGGGTTAGCGAGGACGATGGGGGTTAGCGAGGACGATGGGGGTTAGCGAGGATGATGGGGGTTAGCGAGGATGATGGGGGTTAGCGAGGACGATGGGGGTTAGCGAGGACGATGGGGGTTAGCGAGGACGATGGGGGTTAGCGAGGACGATGGGGGTTAGCGAGGATGATGGGGGATAGCAGGGATGACCCTAACCCTGTTTCTGCTGGTTTCGACCAGTAAAGTTCTGAGTTTGGATCAGTTGAACTCTGAAGTTTTCACAAACAAACTGCAGCTGCTCAGATGTTGGAATTCTGCAGACAGAACTTCATCAGAAATGTTTAGAGGTAATGTCCTGTTGTGTGGCGCCCCCTGCAGGGAGCTCACAGCACTAGCGGCGGCGAGCACGAGTACAACCTGCGCAGCCGCACCGTAGTGTGCGACTCATGTGGACAACCATCAGAACGCTCCGGCGGACTGGAAGGCCTTGGGGGACGAACCTCCTTCATGGGAACCAACGAGCCCAGACAGGTACGGCCCGGTTCTACTGGTTCTGATACCAGATAACCAGAGTGGATGGAAATGGAACTGAGGTTAGAGTAGCATGACTTCAGAAGTGTTTGGTAAAGAAGCTGCATGAGGACTGATCCTAACATCTGATCTAATGTTTAGAAATGATGCAGACAGACTTTAGGTTAAAGTTGACTGTTTCATGAAAAGTTAGATTTCCATCCAAGTCAAAACCGAGTTAAATATTAAGACCTGAAGAATCAGGAGAAGTAAAGTGTTTTCTGTCTCCTCCTCAGGGTCGCATGAAGCCGGAGAACTGCTCCGTCATGTAAGAAGGAAAAGCTCCTCAGCTGATCGACCAAAGATCTTTTTCTACCGTCGGGATTTTTTTTTTTGCTTTTTTACGAGATGATTTTTTTGGATCTGCTTGGTGCTTCCTGTTTTCCTGCATGTCTGCTGTTCTAAAGCCTGTTCAGGACTCTGCTCGGTCCAAACGCTCAGCTGGGTTCTGATCCGATCGGAGCGAAGCTTTGTTAATAATAATGCTGTTTAACGCCTGTTTACTCGCCGTATGTTGGGACAGGATCCTGATCGCCTCCAAAGGGAGGCGCTTCCCTCAGGGCTCGTATCTTTAGCTGATGTTGGATCATCTGATGATGACTTTAGAGAGATTCTTCGGTTTACATGTTCAATGCTGAACTCTCAGGATCCAAACATATGTGCCGGTTTATGAGGACAGCAGAACCTCTGAGTGTTTGGACTGGTCTGAAGGTATTTGATTCTGCAGAGCATCCGTCAGTCAGAACATAGACCTCCTCAGGTCCCACCGGTCCTCATTCAGAACCGCGGTGGGACCCGTTCTGCTGATGCCATCAGAAACCTCCATTCTGACTGTTGGATGCTCCAGAAACCGCCTGATGTCACTGAGTTCTGAACAGGCTGGGTCCTTGCAGGTCTGGTTCTGTTTGTCCCGTCAGTGGGCTCATATGGTTCTGCTGCTGGTAGAACCGGACCTTTCTCTGCTCATGGTTCCTTCCAGCAGTCTGTGTTTTTCTCCTGTCAGCTCTGGGATCGATGATCTCAGAGTCCATCTTTGTTTGGCAGCTTCATGCTTTATTACTCATGTTTACCCACAAAATTACTTGATAGTTTTTGTCTGATTTTGTCCTTCAGGCCAAATATTTTTTATTATTAATCTTGTTGAACCTCAAAGTGCCTCATTTGCCTTCTAGAAAGCCTAGAACCTCCATGTGAAGATGAGCAGAGGTCCAGTTTTAGCTCTGCTGATCGGCTGCAGCCTTCAGATGGTTTATCGCTGCTCAGGCTGCAGCTTTTCCTGTTTGAGCCTCAGCGTCTGGAAGGTTAAACATTTTACCCAAATCTGTCAAAGTTGGTCTTTAAGGAAACCAGCGGTCAGAACCGGAGGCCTTGCTTTGACTTGTTGTAATTCTTATTTTTCTAAATGAAGCAGAATAAAAGCTATTTTTCCCATCGACTGTCGTCTTTTTCTTCAATTCATCAGAACAGCCAGAACACTTTTATTTGCTTTATACAAAATTTTATCTGGAACTGGTTACATTTCAAAATAAAATAAGAATATTTACAGCAGAGTACATTCAGGTGGACCTGGAAAAATCAGTCTGCTGACCCCTGGTGGTCACACAGATCCATTAATCCAGAACTTTTCATTCAGTCGTTTTGTTTCTAATGGTCGACTTTAAGATTCAGAGCTGAAGCTTCTTTATTACGAAGGAAAAACTGACCTTTGTAGTTAACATCCCCAAAATGACAGACTGACAACCTGTAGAAAGTCTCAGAAAGGTATAAAAGACAAACCTGTGATAAATGTTTCCAAAGGGTGAGATTAAGCTTCAGAGATATTGATTAAAAAAGCAAAAATCAATACAAGTCGAACAAAGTCCAGAAATGCCTTAAGTGGCATCAAGAGTTAATCAGACCAAACACAGAAAATGGGAAGAATTTCTTCAGGTTCCCAAACCGTCTTTATGGAAAAGGAGAAAGTTAAGTGTTGATTTTTCTGGAGAAATTGTGCAGCCGGGGTTAAAGGTGTGACCCATGTGCAACTTTCTAGTCACTGGTTCAATCCCGGCCTGGGGACCGCCTGTGTTCGCCCTCCATTTCCTGTCTGCCTACAAAATAAAGGCCTAAAAGTGATCTTAAGACTAAATATTTAAAGATAACTAAAAACTTTCAAATGAAGCTGAAATCTCTGGAGCTCTGAAGCACCTGGAGTCTCATGTCTTCCAGCTGTAGGTTGGTGATGCTCTTTAAAGGAGCCATGGCTCATTTTTTCAGGTCATTTCTTTTAAATTGGGTTTATTCACATACCTTCCTTGGGCTCCCAGAGAGATCAGTTCATCGCCGCTTGTTTGTATAAAGTAGCTCAGTGAAACTACCAGCTGTTAACATTTAGATTGTCAGAGTTTCACTGTTTGCAGAGAAACATAGTTTTACAGCTTGGACTTTAAATGTCGCCTCCAAGAAGAAAAGTAATGATGTAATTTCCTAATTGGTAGAGAAGAACTGAGAGCCGTTCTGATCAGACCCTCAATGAGAAACTAAGTTCAGTTCTCCAGCGATGGTTAGGGCTAACCTGAACCCGAACCCTAATGGAAACCTTTCAATCTGGGATGTGTTTGATCCAGAAGATGAAACAGAGAGAAAAAAATGAAGGATTAATAAAATCTGTTCCAACTAGTCAAATGTTCATAAGTTGCTGATGAAGCATCAATGCCTCAGCAGGACTCGGCTCCTTCCAAACCGGGACTCGGTGACTGTCCAATCCTGGCTCACAGGAAGTTGAGCTGCTCCTGAGATCCTGTGAAGTTTTTCTCTGGCTGATCATTTTATATTTAAAGTCTCTTTAGCTTCAAAGGGTGAACATGGACCCTGATGATTGACACCTCATTTGGCTTCAGGGATGTTTTCAAACAGCAAAGCTAAAAATAAAGCTCAGATTTTATGTTTTTGATCCCAGAACAAAAAAAAAAAAAAAAAGCTGGAGACGTTTCTCAGTTTTATGGGGGGGGGGTTAATGATGCCCCTCTAACTTCAGCTTTTTCATCGCTGGCTGTTGGAGACAGCAGTACCATCTGATGACCGTTAGAGGGCAGTGCTGCTCTAAAACAGCTTCTGAGTCCGTGGTCCCAAAGTGAGGAAGAGGAGTCCTTCCACTCTCCTACTCTCTCTGAAGAGTCCTGTTGGGCGATGGCGGCCGGCGAACCGGGGGCAGGTCATAGTGCCCGGGGATGTGGCTGTTCACAGGGAGGTCATAGTGGCTCTGGGGGTCTGGATGACGAGCGTGACCAAGGGAACTCTGCCGCTCTGAGGATGAAGAAAAACAGGAGTGAGGAAGACGATGAATCAGAGCCGACAGAACCTCCATCAATAATTGAAGAACATAAAACGAGGTCATCCGTCTGCTGACCGCCATTTTTAAAACTGTTTCATGAAAAGCTTCATGCTGGCGCCATCCTCCACCATAGAAATATAGAAACTAGATGATCTCAACAGGAGGCGTAGCTCACCTCTGCACAGGGTGGCCATGCTGAACGGCGGGGGGGTGATCTCGGTGTACGCTCGTTCTCGGGGGAGGGCCGACTTCATCTCCATGTAGCTGCTCTCTGGAGGATAGAGCGGCGGGCTGGGCAGGTCCTTGATGGTGGCGTAAGGATTCTCGCTGTTCAGGGAACCGCTGCTCGCCGCCGCAGAATCCCTCAGCTCTGCTCGAGGAAAGGAAACCCCCCCAATACAGTTAGACGGGGGGTTGTGTTGCCCCCCAATAGAGTTAGACGGGGGGTTGTGTTGCCCCCCAATAGAGTTAGACGGGGGGTTGTGTTGCCCCCCATTACAGTTAGACGGGGGGTTGTGTTGCCCCCCAATACAGTTAGACGGGGGGTTGTGTTGCCCCCCATTACAGTTAAACGGGGGGTTGTGTTGCCCCCCAATAGAGTTAGACGGGGGGTTGTGTTGCCCCCCATTACAGTTAGACGGGGGGTTGTGTTGCCCCCCAATAGAGTTAGACGGGGGGTTGTGTTGCCCCCCAATAGAGTTAGACGGGGGGTTCTGTTGCCGCCCAATACAGTTAGACGGGGGGTTGTGTTGCCCCCCATTACAGTTAGACGGGGGGTTGTGTTGCCCCCCAATAGAGTTAGACGGGGGTTGTGTTGCCCCCCATTACAGTTAGACGGGGGGTTGTGTTGCCCCCCAATACAGTTAGACGGGGGGTTGTGTTGCCCCCCATTACAGTTAGACTAGCAACTCCTGGGGGGGATTCATATTTCTTCATCTTCCCTGCTTCATCTTCCTCACTGCTTCTTCATCCTCCCTGCTTCTTCTTCCTCACTGCTTCATCATCCTCCCTGCTTCATCATCCTCACTGCTTCATCATCCTCCCTGCTTCTTCATCCTCACTGCTTTATCATCCTCACTGCTTCATCATCCTCACTGCTTCTCTTCCTCACTGCTTCATCATCCTCCCTGCTTCATCATCCTCCCTGCATCTTTATCCCCCCTGCTTCTTCATCCTCACTGCTTCATCATCCTAACTGCTTCATCATCCTCCCTGCTTCTTCATCCTCCCTGCTTCATCATCCTCCCTGCTTCATCATCCTCCCTGCTTCTTCATCCTCACTGCTTCATCATCCTTACTGCTTCATCCTCCTCCCTGCTTCATCATCCTCCCTGCTTCTTCATCCTCCCTGCTTCATCATCCTCACTGCTTCATCATCCTCCCTGCTTCTTCATCCTCACTGCTTCATCATCCTCACTGCTTCTTCTTCCTCACTGCTTCATCATCCTCCCTGCTTCATCATCCTCCCTGCTTCATCATCCTCACTGCTTCATCCTCCTCCCTGCTTCTTCATCCTCACTGCTTCTTCTTCCTCACTGCTTCATCATCCTCACTGCTTCATCATCCTCCCTGCTTCTTCATCCTCACTGCTTCATCATCCTCACTGCTTCTTATTCCTCACTGCTTCATCATCCTCCCTGCTTCTTCATCCTCACTGCTTCATCATCCTCACTGCTTCTTCTTCCTCACTGCTTCATCATCCTCACTGCTTCATCATCCTCCCTGCTTCATCATCCTCACTGCTTCATCCTCCTCCCTGCTTCTTCATCCTCACTGCTTCTTCTTCCTCACTGCTTCATCATCCTCACTGCTTCATCATCCTCCCTGCTTCTTCATCCTCACTGCTTCATCATCCTCACTGCTTCTTATTCCTCACTGCTTCATCATCCTCCCTGCTTCTTCATCGTCACTGCTTCATCATCCTCCCTGCTTCTTCATCCTCCCTGCTTCTTCATCCTCACTGCTTCTTCTTCCTCACTGCTTCATCATCCTCTCTGCTTCATCATCCTTACTGCTTCATCATCATCCCTGCTTCATCATCCTCACTGCTTCTTATTCCTCACTGCTTCATCATCCTCCCTGCTTCATCATCCTCCCTGCTTCTTCATCCTCACTGCTTCATCATCCTCACTGCTTCTTATTCCTCACTGCTTCATCATCCTCCCTGCTTCATCATCCTCCCTGTTTCTTCATCCTCCCTGCTTCTTCATCCTCACTGCTTCATCATCCTCCCTGCTTCATCATCCTCCCTGCTTCATCATCCTCCCTGTTTCTTCATCCTCCCTGCTTCATCATCATCCCTGCTTCATCATCCTCACTGCTTCTTATTCCTCACTGCTTCATTATCCTCACTGCTTCTTATTCCTCACTGCTTCATCATCCTCCCTGCTTCATCATCCTCCCTGTTTCTTCATCCTCCCTGCTTCTTCATCCTCACTGCTTCATCATCCTCCCTGCTTCATCATCCTCCCTGTTTCTTCATCCTCCGTGCTTCTTCATCCTCACTGCTTCTTCATCCTCACTGCTTCATCATCCTCTCTGCTTCATCATCCTTACTGCTTCATCATCATCCCTGCTTCATCATCATCCCTGCTTCTTCATCCTCACTGCTTCATCATCCTCACTGCTTCTTCTTCCTCACTGCTTTATCATCCTCCCTGCTTCATCATCCTCACTTCTTCATCATCCTCCCTGCTTCTTCATCCTCACTGCTTCATCATCCTCTCTGCTTCATCATCCTCCCTGCTTCTTTATCCTCACGGCTTCTTCATCCTCCCTGCTTCATCATCCTCCCTGCTTCTTTATCCTCACTGCTTCATCATCCTCTCTGCTTCATCATCCTCCCTGCTTCTTTATCCTCACGGCTTCTTCATCCTCCCTGCTTCATCATCCTCCCTGCTTCTTTATCCTCACGGCTTCTTCATCCTCCCTGCTTCATCATCCTCCCTGCTTCATCATCCTCCCTGCTTCTTATTCCTCACTGCTTCATCATCCTCCCTGCTTCATCATCCTCCCTGTTTCTTCATCCTCCCTGCTTCTTCATCCTCACTGCTTCATCATCCTCCCTGCTTCATCATCCTCCCTGTTTCTTCATCCTCCCTGCTTCTTCATCCTCACTGCTTCATCATCCTCTCTGCTTCATCATCCTTACTGCTTCATCATCATCCCTGCTTCATCATCATCCCTGCTTCTTCATCCTCACTGCTTCATCATCCTCACTGCATCTTCTTCCTCACTGCTTTATCATCCTCCCTGCTTCATCATCCTCACTTCTTCATCATCCTCCCTGCTTCTTCATCCTCACTGCTTCATCATCCTCTCTGCTTCATCATCCTCCCTGCTTCTTTATCCTCACGGCTTCTTCATCCTCCCTGCTTCATCATCCTCCCTGCTTCTTTATCCTCACGGCTTCTTCATCCTCCCTGCTTCATCATCCTCCCTGCTTCTTCATCCTCACTGCTTCATCATCCTCTCTGCTTCATCATCCTCCCTGCTTCTTTATCCTCACGGCTTCTTCATCCTCCCTGCTTCATTATCCTCCCTGCTTCTTCATCCTTACTGCTTCATCATCCTCCCTGCTTCTTCATCCTCCCTGCTTCATCATCCTTACTGCTTCATCATCATCCCTGCTTCTTCATCCTCCCTGCTTCTTCATCCTTACTGCTTCATCATCATCCCTGCTTCATCATCATCCCTGCTTCTTCATCCTCCCTGCTTCATCATCCTTACTGCTTCATCATCATCCCTGCTTCTTCATCCTCCCTGCTTCATCATCCTTACTGCTTCATCATCCTCCCTGCTTCTTCATCCTCCCTGCTTCATCATCCTTACTGCTTCTTCATCCTCCCTGCTTCTTCATCCTCACTGCTTCATCATCCTCTCTGCTTCATCATCCTTACTGCTTCATCATCATCCCTGCTTCATCATCATCCCTGCTTCATCATCCTCCCTGCTTCTTTATCCTCACTGCTTCTTCATCCTTAATGCTTCATCATCCTCCCTGCTTCTTCATCCTCCCTGCTTCATCATCCTTACTGCTTCATCATCATCCCTGCTTCTTCATCCTCCCTGCTTCTTCATCCTCCCTGCTTCATCATCCTTACTGCTTCATCATCATCCCTGCTTCATCATCCTCCCTGTTTCTTCATCCTCCCTGCTTCTTCATCCTCCCTGCTTCATCATCCTTACTGCTTCATCATCATCCCTGCTTCATCATCATCCCTGCTTCATCATCCTCCCTGTTTCTTCATCCTCCCTGCTTCATCATCCTCACTGCTTCATCATCTTCCCTGCTTCTATTCACCCAAATGTTTCTTTAAATCTTGGATTTCTGTTGAACTCTATATTTTACATCTAAGCATGAATTGATGTATTGAATCTTTAAACTCGGTGTTTTTCCAGCTCTAAATCATTTCTGATGGACGTTGCAGCAAAGATCATCCAGACATTTGTGACTAAAAAGCAGCGGAGGACGGATCTGCTTGGTGTCCTTCTGCAGGTTTCTGAGGTGTTCTAGAAGAACCTTCATTTTCTTTCTCTGTTTTCCTTCTTTGCCAAACAGATACACATCTGTGTCGTGAAGTAACAAGTGTTTTTGCGTCATGCGTTCAATTTTACGCATCTAGTGTAAATAACTGTGTTCAAATACTAAAGCTATGCTCAGCTTTGCTGCACTGTGACACATCAGGAGATCTTTTCCATTTATGTTTGTGGTAAACTCAGAGCAGAGGTTAGGTTAGTGACCGACAGATATCACCTGTTCTCTAAATAGCTCTAGATAGGGAAGGTCAGAGTATCTGATACTAGTCAGCCTGTAAGCTACTCTGATACATCAGCTAACAACTGCTTCTTCATCAGAAACAATCCAGAAAGTCAGAAAATGTCAAAAATAATTAAATTAAATAGAAGAAGAACAGTGAGGAAGTGCTCCATGTCACGCTTTGGGTGGGTTCTGATAATCATCCAGTCAGTAGCAAACAGTAGGGCTGATTAACTACCTTTGTTGTAGTACTTTCCCAGGCTGGCGCTGTAGCTGTAGCTTCGGTCGATGCCAAACGCTCCTGCAAACAGGAAAAGAAACACATTTTAACTGTCAGGCTCATAAAAAGAAACCAGCTTTGGAAAATGCTGAAAATCGAAAGCAGGTGGGTGAATTTGGCTGCCAATCAGCCTTTATGAAGTTCTTGGTGTTTACGGCCAAAAAGCAGGACTGCTTAGGGAATATTCATTAGCAGTAAAGTGGAATTATGTTAAAGCTGATGTTTCCACTCAGAGGAAGAAGTAAAGAGCAGGTTTGACTGATCAGTGTTTCATTCTGTGCTTGAACATAAAGGAGGCTTTTGGATCTGATTCCTGGACCCACCGCAGTCTTTGCGGGTTTCATGGTGTTTCCAGTCTGCAGGCAGGGTGGCGTTGCTCTCTGTCCCAAACAGGCTACGGCGCTCCCTGGCTGCGTTCTTCACGCTGCAGAACAGCTGGTTGTTGGTGTTCTGTGGGAGACGCAACGAAACGTGAATCCAGCTCCAACCAAACGGCTTTGGATCACATCCAGCAGCTGGCGTGAATAGCCAGGCCTCACCTTGATGATGCGGTCGTGATTGTTGGGGAGGTGAGGGAGCGGGGGCCGGTTCTGGCTCAGGGTGTGGTAGCTGGGGTTGGAGTAGTAATGGTGGTAGCTGTGAGGAACATCTGCAAACACAAAACAATTGGATGGCGTCACCACCGCCGCTTCCTGAGTGCCAAAAAACTGATCCCTGTGAAGCAAAACGTTCTGCTAGAAGGTCAGAGGAAGGATGAAAAGGTTCTGCTAGAAGGTCAGAGGAAGGATAAAAAGGTTCTGCTAGAAGGTCAGAGGAAGGATGAAAAGGTTCTGCTAGAAGGTCAGAGGAAGGATAAAAAGGTTCTGCTAGAAGGTAAGAGGAAGGATGAAAAGGTTCTGCTAGAAGGTCAGAGGAAGGATAAAAAGGTTCTGCTAGAAGGTCAGAGGAAGGATGAAAAGGTTCTACTAGAAGGTCAGAGGAAGGATAAAAAGGTTCTGCTAGAAGGTCAGAGGAAGGATAAAAAGGTTCTGCTAGAAGGTCAGAGGAAGGATGAAAAGGTTCTGCTAGAAGGTCAGAGGAAGGATGAAAAGGTTCTGCTAGAAGGTCAGAGGAAGGATGAAAAGGTTCTACTAGAAGGTCAGAGGAAGGATAAAAAGGTTCTGCTAGAAGGTCAGAGGAAGGATAAAAAGGTTCTGCTAGAAGGTAAGAGGAAGGATGAAAAGGTTCTGCTAGAAGGTCAAAGGAAGGATGAAAAGGTTCTAGAAGGTCAGAGGAAGGATGAAAAGGTCTAGAAGGTCAGAGGAAGGATGAAAAGGTTCTGCTAGAAGGTCAAAGGAAGGATGAAAAGGTTCTGCTAGAAGGTCAAAGGAAGGATGAAAAGGTTCTGCTAGAAGGTCAAAGGAAGGATAAAAAGGTTCTGCTAGAAGGTCAGAGGAAGGATAAAAAGGTTCTGCTAGAAGGTCAGAGGAAGGATGAAAAGGTTCTGCTAGAAGGTCAGAGGAAGGATGAAAAGGTTCTGCTAGAAGGTCAGAGGAAGGATGAAAAGGTTCTGCTAGAAGGTCAGAGGAAGGATAAAAAGGTTCTGCTAGAAGGTCAGAGGAAGGATGAAAAGGTTCTGCTAGAAGGTCAGAGGAAGGATGAAAAGGTTCTGCTAGAAGGTCAGAGGAAGGATGAAAAGGTTCTGCTAGAAGGTCAAAGGAAGGATGAAAAGGTTCTGCTAGAAGGTCAAAGGAAGGATGAAAAGGTTCTGCTAGAAGGTCAAAGGAAGGATGAAAAGGTTCTGCTAGAAGGTCAGAGGAAGGATGAAAAGGTTCTGCTAGAAGGTCAGAGGAAGGATGAAAAGGTTCTGCTAGAAGGTCAGAGGAAGGATGAAAAGGTTCTGCTAGAAGGTCAGAGGAAGGATGAAAAGGTTCTGCTAGAAGGTCAGAGGAAGGATAAAAAGGTTCTGCTAGAAGGTCAGAGGAAGGATGAAAAGGTTCTGCTAGAAGGTCAGAGGAAGGATAAAAAGGTTCTGCTAGAAGGTCAGAGCAAGGATGAAAAGGTTCTGCTAGAAGGTCAGAGGAAGGATGAAAAGGTTCTGCTAGAAGGTCAGAGGAAGGATGAAAAGGTTCTGCTAGAAGGTCAAAGGAAGGATAAAAAGGTTCTGCTAGAAGGTCAGAGGAAGGATGAAAAGGTTCTGCTAGAAGGTCAGAGGAAGGATGAAAAGGTTCTGCTAGAAGGTCAGAGGAAGGATGAAAAGGTTCTGCTAGAAGGTCAGAGGAAGGATGAAAAGGTTCTGCTAGAAGGTCAGAGGAAGGATGAAAAGGTTCTGCTAGAAGGTCAAAGGAAGGATGAAAAGGTTCTGCTAGAAGGTCAAAGGAAGGATGAAAAGGTTCTGCTAGAAGGTCAAAGGAAGGATAAAAAGGTTCTGCTAGAAGGTCAGAGGAAGGATGAAAAGGTTCTGCTAGAAGGTCAGAGGAAGGATAAAAAGGTTCTGCTAGAAGGTCAGAGCAAGGATGAAAAGGTTCTGCTAGAAGGTCAGAGGAAGGATGAAAAGGTTCTGCTAGAAGGTCAGAGGAAGGATGAAAAGGTTCTGCTAGAAGGTCAAAGGAAGGATAAAAAGGTTCTGCTAGAAGGTCAGAGGAAGGATGAAAAGGTTCTGCTAGAAGGTCAGAGGAAGGATAAAAAGGTTCTGCTAGAAGGTCAGAGGAAGGATGAAAAGGTTCTGCTAGAAGGTCAGAGGAAGGATGAAAAGGTTCTGCTAGAAGGTCAAAGGAAGGATAAAAAGGTTCTGCTAGAAGGTCAGAGGAAGGATGAAAAGGTTCTGCTAGAAGGTCAGAGGAAGGATAAAAAGGTTCTGCTAGAAGGTCAAAGGAAGGATAAAAAGGTTCTGCTAGAAGGTCAGAGGAAGGATGAAAAGGTTCTGCTAGAAGGTCAGAGGAAGGATAAAAAGGTTCTGCTAGAAGGTCAAAGGAAGGATGAAAAGGTTCTGCTAGAAGGTCAAAGGAAGGATAAAAAGGTTCTGCTAGAAGGTCAGAGGAAGGATGAAAAGGTTCTGCTAGAAGGTCAGAGGAAGGATGAAAAGGTTCTGCTAGAAGGTCAGAGGAAGGATAAAAAGGTTCTGCTAGAAGGTCAGAGGAAGGATGAAAAGGTTCTGCTAGAAGGTCAGAGGAAGGATAAAAAGGTTCTGCTAGAAGGTAAGAGGAAGGATGAAAAGGTTCTGCTAGAAGGTCAGAGGAAGGATAAAAAGGTTCTGCTAGAAGGTCAGAGGAAGGATGAAAAGGTTCTGCTAGAAGGTCAGAGGAAGGATAAAAAGGTTCTGCTAGAAGGTCAGAGGAAGGATGAAAAGGTTCTGCTAGAAGGTCAGAGGAAGGATAAAAAGGTTCTGCTAGAAGGTAAGAGGAAGGATGAAAAGGTTCTGCTAGAAGGTCAAAGGAAGGATGAAAAGGTTCTGCTAGAAGGTCAGAGGAAGGATGAAAAGGTTCTGCTAGAAGGTCAGAGGAAGGATGAAAAGGTTCTGCTAGAAGGTCAAAGGAAGGATGAAAAGGTTCTGCTAGAAGGTCAAAGGAAGGATGAAAAGGTTCTGCTAGAAGGTCAAAGGAAGGATAAAAAGGTTCTGCTAGAAGGTCAGAGGAAGGATGAAAAGGTTCTGCTAGAAGGTCAGAGGAAGGATGAAAAGGTTCTGCTAGAAGGTCAGAGGAAGGATAAAAAGGTTCTGCTAGAAGGTCAGAGCAAGGATGAAAAGGTTCTGCTAGAAGGTCAGAGGAAGGATGAAAAGGTTCTGCTAGAAGGTCAGAGGAAGGATGAAAGGTTCTGCTAGAAGGTCAAAGGAAGGATGAAAAGGTTCTGCTAGAAGGTCAGAGGAAGGATGAAAAGGTTCTGCTAGAAGGTCAAAGGAAGGATAAAAAGGTTCTGCTAGAAGGTCAGAGGAAGGATGAAAAGGTTCTGCTAGAAGGTCAAAGGAAGGATGAAAAGGTTCTGCTAGAAGGTCAAAGGAAGGATAAAAAGGTTCTGCTAGAAGGTCAGAGGAAGGATGAAAAGGTTCTGCTAGAAGGTCAAAGGAAGGATGAAAAGGTTCTGCTAGAAGGTCAAAGGAAGGATGAAAAGGTTCTGCTAGAAGGTCAAAGGAAGGATGAAAAGGTTCTGCTAGAAGGTCAAAGGAAGGATGAAAAGGTTCTCCTAGAAGGTCAGAGGAAGGATAAAAAGGTTCTGCTAGAAGGTCAGAGGAAGGATGAAAAGGTTCTGCTAGAAGGTCAAAGGAAGGATGAAAAGGTTCTGCTAGAAGGTCAAAGGAAGGATGAAAAGGTTCTGCTAGAAGGTCAAAGGAAGGATGAAAAGGTTCTGCTAGAAGGTCAAAGGAAGGATGAAAAGGTTCTCCTAGAAGGTCAGAGGAAGGATAAAAAGGTTCTGCTAGAAGGTCAGAGGAAGGATAAAAAGGTTCTGCTAGAAGGTCAGAGGAAGGATGAAAAGGTTCTGCTAGAAGGTCAGAGGAAGGATGAAAAGGTTCTGCTAGAAGGTCAAAGGAAGGATGAAAATGTTCTGCTAGAAGGTCAGAGGAAGGATGAAAAGGTTCTGCTAGAAGGTCAAAGGAAGGATGAAAATGTTCTGCTAGAAGGTCAGAGGAAGGATAAAAAGGTTCTGCTAGAAGGTCAGAGGAAGGATGAAAAGGTTCTGCTAGAAGGTCAGAGGAAGGATAAAAAGGTTCTGCTAGAAGGTCAGAGGAAGGATAAAAAGGTTCTGCTAGAAGGTCAGAGGAAGGATAAAAAAGGTTCTGCTAGAAGGTCAGAGGAAGGATAAAAAGGTTCTGCTAGAAGGTTAGAGGAAGGATAAAAAAGGTTCTGCTAGAAGGTCAGAGGAAGGATGAAAAGGTTCTGCTAGAAGGTCAGAGGAAGGATGAAAAGGTTCTGCTAGAAGGTTAGAGGAAGGATAAAAAAGGTTCTGCTAGAAGGTCAGAGGAAGGATGTGAAGTTTCTTTTACTGGATGATAATAAGTAGATTGAAGAGGAACTAGGAGAGAACTCTGACCAGTGAAGGCTGCTCAGCTGCCTCCTTCTGAGGAGAACATCCTCAGGTCCTCCTTTATCACAGTTTGGAATAAATAAACTCAGATTCCTAAATCTGAGATCAGGCAGCGATAAAAAGGATGCTTTTTAAAATCAGTTCTATTCAGTTTATTTCTATTGCTCCTATTCCCCTCATGGATGATCTAATTGATCTGGATCTATAGAGTTTACAGGATGTGAATTAGAGTTCTAGAAATAAATTGAAGTGAATTAAAGGAGCATCTATGGAGGGTGATTCCTGACTTGCTCTGTGGTTTGTTGAGTCTGAGTTTTGATCCATAAGCTCTATGTTATGTTGCACCTATTCAATTCTATTCAGTATATTTCTATAGCTCCAATTCACATCATGTCATCTCAGGTCACTTTATAGATCCAGATCAACCAGATCCTCCAGTCAGATTGATTCAAAGTTTTCTGTCTAAGGAAAACCAGCTGATTGCATCGACTCATTGACTCTTCAGCAATCCCTCACACTAAGCATGCTTGTAGCGACAGTGGAGAGGAAAAACTCCCTTTGAACAGGAAGAAACCTCCAGCAGAACCAGAACCAGCGGCCATCTGCTGTTCCTTTCAGGGAGAAATTAAGCACATCATTGGTTTTGGTCCCTTATGCAGCATTTTCCAACTCTGGTCCCCAAAGCAAACTGCTCTGCAGGGTTTAGGTGTTTTTCTGCTTTATATATGTGCTTCAGATGAATGCAGCATAACCGGACCCTCAGAGACCATCAGCTGAACTGAATCTGGGAAACATCTAAAACCTGAAAGCAGCGTGACCTGAGCAGCAGGGTTAGAAAAACTGCCTATACTGCCCACTACTGGGCAGTCAGTGTAACTGTACCAAAGTGTTTCTCAGAGAAACATGCTGAAGAAAATGATTTATTTCCTGTAAGAAGAGTTTAAAGCAATGATGTGAAAAAGTGTTAATTGATGCTGGGATTCTATGTTTCAATCATTCTGACACCTGGAGTCCTTATTGATCTAATCACGTCAATCCTCTGGGGTCCATTAATGGATACGACCCCCAGGGAGGGTGTTGAGTCAGAGGGGTCCTCGTCTGGGTCTCACACAGCCTTTGAGTTTCATACCTGGGGCGGCGTATTCTGAGTTGACGGTGCGGCTGCTGGAGAAGGACACGGTTGGCGTGTTGCTCTGCTTGTCCTTCTGCCGGCGGCGGTAAAGAAGCAGCAGAGCCAGCAGCAGGACGACCAGGAGGACCAGCACCACAATGCCTGCGATGGCCCCCCATGACTCCTTCTCTCCTGGAGGCAGAGGGACCATGACGCTGTCGGCCTTCTCTGAGGAGGCTGAAAGACAAGGAGGTCAAAGCTGCAGCAACCAGAGGAGCTTCCAGTCCTGCTGAGGCCCAAAGGTGGACTTACTGTTCTGACAGGCGGCGCCGCTGTACCCTGGGCGACAGACACACTCCCCTGTTTTTCTCAAACATGTGTCGCTGTTGGGACAGTGCTCAGAGCAGGAGTGGTTGCAGTGGGGGCCCCACTGGCCTTCTGGACAAGGGTCACTGCAGCGGGGCCCTGAGGAGAAAAGAAGTGATGACGTGGAAATGTGAACGGGAGGAGAATCTGCTGTCAGAGAGAACCTGCTCAACCCAAAGGATCTTTGTTCATTTATTGTTGTTTTCCAGCCTGAACGCCTCCTTCCTTCCTCTTATCTGGACCTCAGCTCGCTTCTGGAAACTTCGCCTCCTTTTAAGGCTTTAAGCACAGCTCTTTGAGTCAAAGTTTAAAACACGTTTATTTAAAGCTCCCTTTGTTGAAGATAACTGTTAACTGAGAATTTATTAGTTTAAGATTCTGGTCCAACTGTTTGGTTTTACTAACTGCTTTAATCGTAATTTTAGCTTCATTTGCTTTTATTTTCCTTTTATTTTATTGTCTAATTCATGTAAAACACTTTGAATTTTCCATCCATCCAGTTTCCTTCACACTTTAGCCCTGCTGGGGTCGCAAAGGGTGCTGGGGTGGGGAGGGGTGCTGGTGTCTTTCTCCAGCTGTCTACGGGTGAGAGGCAGGGTCCACCCTGGACAGAGAGGCAGGGTCCATCCTGGACAGAGAGGCAGGGTCCACCCTGGACAGAGAGGCGGGGTCCACCCTGGACAGAGAGGTGGGGTCCACCCTGGACAGAGAGGCAGGGTCCATCCTGGACAGAGAGGCTGGGTCCACCCTGGACAGAGAGGCAGGGTCCACCCTGGACAGAGAGGCAGGGTCCACCCTGGACAGAGAGGCGAGGTCCACCCTGGACAGAGAGGCAGGGTCCACCCTGGACAGAGAGGCGGGGTCCACCCTGGACAGAGAGGCAGGGTCCACCCTGGACAGAGAGGCAAGGTCCACCCTGGACAGAGAGATGGGGTCCACCCTGGACAGAGAGGCAGGGTCCACCCTGGACAGAGAGGCAGGGTCCACCCTGGACAGAGAGGCGGGGTCCACCCTGGACAGAGAGGAGGGGTCCACCCTGGACAGAGAGGAGGGGTCCATCCTGGACAGAGAGGCAGGGTCCATCCTGGACAGAGAGGCAGGGTCCACCCTGGACAGAGAGGCGGGGTCCACCCTGGACAGAGAGGAGGGGTCCATCCTGGACAGAGAGGAGGGGTCCATCCTGGACAGAGAGGCAGGGTCCACCCTGGACAGAGAGGCGGGGTCCACCCTGGACAGAGAGGAGGGGTCCATCCTGGACAGAGAGGCAGGGTCCACCCTGGACAGAGAGGCGGGGTCCACCCTGGACAGAGAGGAGGGGTCCATCCTGGACAGAGAGGCAGGGTCCATCCTGGACAGAGAGGCGGGGTCCATCCTGGACAGAGAGGCGGGGTCCATCCTGGACAGAGAGGCGGGGTCCATCCTGGACAGAGAGGCAGGGTCCGTCCTGGACAGAGAGGCGGGGTCCACCCTGGACAGAGAGGCGGGGTCAAACCGCAGATTCCATGCAGAAAGACCCCGGGCCGGGAATCAAAACTAGAATGTTCTTGCGGCGAGGCAGCCGTGCTACCCACTGAGCACCCACATTGAATTGTCGTTGTTTTGAATTATGCTTTAAACTGGCTTCGCGTTCAGAGATGTATGAATTCTTGATATTTGCATAAAACAGTCGAAAGTTTTGTTTTTCCTGGTTCAGCAGCAGAGAGGGAGGCGGAATTAAAAATGACCAGTGGCTGACCAGTGGCCAAGCAACAGTGGAGCTGATTACTTCACAAGCTACGATTATCCATCATTACTGACAGACAGATTACGGAGTCAAATGTCATGATTTTCACCGAAACATTGCTAAACAACAGCTGCCAGGACAATGCTATCCAGCTAACAGGACACCAGACACACCGAGCCGACAGTACAGCAAATGATTCTGGCAAGACCAGAGATGGAGGTCTGTGCATTTATATTAACAAAGCTTGGTGCACAGACTCTGCTACTACTGAGAGTCACTGCTCACAGAATGTGGAGTCTTTAATGGTTAAATGCAGACCTTATTACCTCCCAAGGGAATTCACTTCCATTATCCTCACTGCTGTGTACACCCCCCCGGATGCTAATGCCAAGCTAGCCATGAAAGAACTCTATGCGGCCATTAGCAAACATCAAACCAAACACCCGAGGCTGCTTTTATTGTTGTGGGGGACTTCAACCACTCCAACTTGAAGACAGTCCTCCCTAGATTCCACCAACAAGACTCCTGCAACACCAGAGGAGGCAAGACCCTGGACCATGTCTACTCCAATCTGGCTGAAGCTTACAAGGTGACACCCCTCCCCCACATCGTGCAATCAGACCATCCCTCCCTGTTCCTCACATCTTGATACTCACCACTCATCCAACATGTGAAACCTACTGTGAGGACAGTAAAGGTGTGGCCAGAGCTGAAGAGGGGAATCAAGAAGGCCAAACACCACTACAAAAGTAAGGTGGAGGATCACTTTTACAACTCCAACCCTTGACGTATGTGGCAAGGTCTTCAGATTCTCACAGAATACAAGAACTCCAATACCTCCCCCGCCTCCTCTGATGTTTCCTTCCTCAATGAGCTTTACAACTTCTATGCTTGTTTTGAGATAGGGAATACTACAACTGCAACCCAGGCACCACTTTCCCAGACCAAAAGCCACTGATTCTCCTCTGCACTGATGTAGGAGCGGCTTTGAGAAGGATTAAATCCAAAAAGGCTGCGGGTCCTGATAGCATACCTGGACGTGTCCTCAGAGCGTGCTCTGGGGAGCTGGCAGGAGTGCTGACGGACATCTTCAACCTGTCCTTGGCCCATGCTGTGGTACCGACCTGCTTCAAGTCTACCTCCATCGTCCCAATCCCCAAGAATTCTAACCCAACCAGACTCAATGATTATAGCCCGGTAGCCCTCACCCCCATCATCACCAAGTGCTTGGAGTGACTGGTCCTACCACGCCTCAGATCCTGCACCCCCCCCCCACCCCACCCACTGGACCCCAACAATTTGCACAATGGGGTTACCCTAACCCTAACAGGCAGCATAGAAGCACAGAGGATGCAGTCTCCGTAGCTCTGCACTCTGTCCTTTCTCACCTGGACAGCAGGAACCCTTACGCCAGAATGCTGTTCTTAGACCTTAGTTCAGCATTTAATACTGTCATTCAATCACAATTAATTACCAAACTCACAGACCTCGGCTTCAGTTCACTCATGTGGAACCGGTTGCTCGACTTCCTGACCGGTCGACCCCAACATGTTCGGCTAGACAACCATTGCTCATCCACCACCATTATAAACACCGGAGTGCCACAAGGTTGTGTGATGAGTCCCTTCCTCTACTCTCTCCTCACCCACGACTGCAGACCTGTCCATGGCTCTAACGCCATCATCAAGTTTGCAGACGACACCACGGTGGTTGGCCTCAGCAGAGACAACGATCAGGCTGCCTACAGGGAGGAGGTGGACCGCCCTGCTGAATGGTGCGACAAAAACAACCTGCAGCTGAACACCGAGAAGACCAAGGAGCTCATCATGGACATCAGGAGGATCGCTGACCTACACCCACCCATCCACATCAAGGAGATAGCAGAGGAGCGTGTGGACAGCTTTAAGTTCCTGGGAGTCCACATCTCCGAGGACCTGACATGTCGGTCCTCTCTATGGTGCTTCTGTAGAAGGTGGGGAGGATGGGGGGTCAGATGGGCTCTCCTCATCCTCCGCAGGAAGTCCAAACGCTTCCTGGCCCTTATTTTCCAACTGTGCCCTGTTGAGAAAACTCCAAATGATTTCTCAGACTCTGCATCACACTGATAACACCAAACTAAAATACTGCATAATTACACCATATATATTAATGCTCTGAACTTCCAGGTAATACAATTTTTTGCATGTTTTTTCTCCCGCACTGTTTACATTTGATCACTGCTGAACTTTATGGAATGGAAATGTCATGAAAGCTGAACTAAACGAAATTTAGTACAGCCTAGACAATAAAAGTTGTCTAAGTCTAAAGTCACCAGACTTGAAAGCTGAGTTCGGTGCTTTTAGCGATTTCTGAGCCTCTCCATTTATCCAGGGTGGTTGGTTGGCCCAGGTGGTGATGTTCCTTTTGATGCTGACGTCCTTGATGCATTTGTTGATGTAGGCTGACACAGTCATGGCATACTTCTATATATTGATCTTGTTGTCACAGGTTGCTGCAGCTTTGAACATGTTCCAGTCAGAGCATTTAAAACAGTCCTGGAGTATCTCCATGGCCCCCTCAGACCACACTCTGATTTTCTGCACTGTTGGTTTAGCTCTGATTAGCTAGAGCCCGTATGCAGGAATTAGCATTACATATTCAATATAAGATCTGCCTCCTCACATATGTAACACATATGTTAAAAAACTCCTCAGTCACCCCAGAAAAAAGCTGAGGACCCTGGGAGACAGAGCTCCACCGATGAGGAATGACCTCAGAGCTCCATATTCTTCTAACAATTTTAAAAACTTGTTTTATAGTTTTATTATTTATTTTTTTTATTGTTGTTCCACTGCATATTTCACTGAAACTATTTGCTGTAACTTTTCTTTGTCAGCACGCTGAAATCTGTTTTTAAAATGCTATGATAACAAGTGCTTTATAAATAAAATGCATCATTATTATTATTAAAGAACCATTAAAACTATACTATCGGTTTTACCAATACAAGACTGTGTGTTACTCCGTTTCGGAAATTGGTGGAATCGATGATAAAAGGGACAGAATCTAAAAAGTTTGAAAATGTATCAAATTAGTCTGTTTCTGATTTAAAATAGATATTTAGTTATCAGATCAAGCTCAGATCAAAGCTTCAGAGATGACAGATGGTGGCTTATTTCTCAACAGAGATCATCAGTCTAGCACTGGAAATGAACATTGTCCAGATTAAGTCTGCAGATATTCCCCCTCCGACAGTATAGCTAGTTGTTACCATGGAAACAGTTGGAGGATGTTTGGGGGTAAAAGGCAGGAAGTCGTCACTCATCTTTGTTTTTTCTCCCTCTGCTGTGGAGAAGAGGACGGAAAGCTGGTTTCATTGGTCTGAGCTGCTGCTGCTGCTGCTTTGGAGCTGAATTCCTCACAGTGAGGAGTCTGTATGATATACATCTATAAACGGTTTTGATGACGAGCACCAATAGATTAGTCTCTGTGTGCTAACAGCTATGCCACCAGATTATTGAAGCTTTGCCTTTGATTAAAGATGAAAGGCTTTTAAAACGGTTTATTGTGATCGATTTTCATCTCAAATAAATCAATGATAAAATGTTTTAGATCTAGTAAAAGAATTGGAGATTAATTTAGTGTCTTCTTTAATGTTTTATATGCATCAGTCTTCCTTCTGTAGGACTGGTTCTGGGATTGATTGTTCATGTCTTATCAGGTGTTGCTATGCTAGCATGCCTGCTGGCTGCGATCTGATGTCTGCTGTTTTGGTTCCGGTCTTAGATGGACTCTGAAAATCCCTCCATCCGCCTGGTCCCCTCCTCTGAAAGAAAGCTAAACATGTCATTACTCACCCATCCAGCCTGGCAGACAGTCGCACTCCCCGCTGGTTGCCTGGCAGCCGCTGCCATGGACACAGTCGCACCTCTTCAGGCAGCCCGGCCCAAATGTGCCCACCTGCACAGAGACTGAGAAGCATCAGGGGTTCTACTCATGGCTCAGAGTCAGACTACTTCCTGTAGGGGTAGAACAAAAACCTCAGACCATCATCTAGATTTAGAGCTGATTAAGGGCCTGGACTTTGACTATGTCTGGGCTTTGACTAGGCCTGGGCTTTGACTAGGCCTGGGCTTTGACTAGGCCTGGACTTTGACTATGTCTGGGCTTAGACTATGTCTGGGCTCGGACTATGTCTGGGCTTTGACTATGTCTGGGCTTTGACTATGTCTGGGCTTTGACTAGGCCTGGGCTTTGACTATGTCTGGGCTTTGACTATGTCTGGGCTTCGACTATGTCTGGGCTTCGACTATGTCTGGGCTTTGACTATGTCTGGGCTTTGACTAGGCCGTTTGCAGCACTATGATGGGATCATAGTTGTGCTAATTGGGAGTTCATGTCAGCTGCAGACTGTAAAATCAGACCAAACCATCAGCCCTCCACCACCGTGCTTTTCCTCTGCTAACAGAGCTGGCAGCTCTGCTTGGTTTTCTTTGTGGTGTCGTGGATTATGGCCAAACGTCTCTACTTTGGTCTGATCTAAGGAGCCTTCAGAACAAGTCAGACTTGTTCTCATCATCTGAGGTCGACCATTACGACCTTTGACCCCTCCCACTGAAGGTGTAGATGTGGGGATGGAGCTCCTAGACGTTACTCCAGGCTCCTTCAATGAACTCTGAGCAATAATAATGGAAAGTTTGTCCACATCCTGGATCAGCAGCATCAGGCGATTGTTTCCCTCCTTATTGGACCAAAATCAGGATGTCTCCAATTTCCTTCACATGAGGTTCATATCATCATGGCGGCCTTACCCCACACGGCTGCTCACACTGGGCCCCCCGCCATCCAGCTGAGCAGGAACAGGATCCATCCGCCGGGTCGCATGTGGCCCCGTTGGAGCAGCGGCAGGTGGAGTTGCATCCGGGGCCCCAGGTGCCCTGAGCACAAGGGGCCGAGCAGTCGGGCCCCCGCCAGCCTGCAGTCACCACAGAGAAGGTCATGTGACCTCCTGATGAACATGATGATGATGATGATGATGTTGTGGCGGCATTTTTCACCCTCTTTGCAGAAGCAGGATCCATCCAGCGGGGAGCAGTCAATGAAGTTCTCACAGGAACACTTCAGGGAGCAGTTCTTCCCATAGGTGGTGCCCTTACAGGGACTCTCACAGTGTACACCCTGCAGGAAGAGGTGAATGAGTGAATAAATGGATGGATGAATGAGTGGATGAAGAGATGGGTGAATGAGTGGATGAAAGGATGGGTGAATGGGGGGTGAACAGATGGGTGAATGAGGGGAGGAAGAGATGGGTAAATGAGTGAATGAATGGATGGATGAATGACGGGATGAAGAGATGGGTAAATGAGTGAATGAACAGATGGGTGAATGAGGGGAGGAACAGATGGGTGAATGAGGGGAGGAAGAGATGGGTAAATGAGTGAATGAATGGATGGATGAATGAGGGGATGAAGAGATGGGTAAATGAGTGAATGAATGGATGGATGAATGAGGGGATGAAGAGATGGGTAAATGAGTGAATGAATGGATGGATGAATGAGGGGATGAAGAGATGGGTGAATGAGTGAATGAATGGATGGATGAATGAGGGGATGAAGAGATGGGTAAATGAGGGGATGAACAGATGGGTGAATGAGGGGAGGAAGAGATGGGTAAATGAGTGAATGAATGGATGGATGAATGAGGGGATGAAGAGATGGGTGAATGAGTGAATGAATGGATGGATGAATGGGGGATGAACAGATGGGTGAATGAGTGAATGAATGGATGGATGCATGGGGGATGAAGAGATGGGTAAATGAGTGAATGAATGGATGGATGAATGGGGGATGACAGATGGGTGAATGAGGGGAGGAAGAGATGGGTAAATGAGTGAATGAATGGATGGATGAATGGGGGATGAACAGATGGGTGAATGAGGGGATAAACAGATGGGTGAATGAGTGAATGACTGGATGGGTGAATGAGTGAATGAATGGATGGGTGAATGAGTGAATGACTGGATGGGTGAATGAGGGGATGAACAGATGGGTGAATGAGGGGATGAACAGATGGGTGAATGAGGGGATAAACAGATGGGTGAATGAGTGAATGACTGGATGGGTGAATGAGTGAATGACTGGATGGGTGAATGAGTGAATGACTGGATGGGTGAATAAGGGGATGAACAGATGGGTGAATGAGGGGATGAACAGATGGGTGAATGTGTGAATGAATGGATGTGTGAATGAGTGAATGACTGGATGGGTGAATGAGTGAATGAATGGATGGGTGAATGAGTGAATGACTGGATGGGTGAATGAGGGGATGAATGGATGGGTGAATGAGTGAATGACTGGATGGGTGAATGAGAGGATGAATGGATGGGTGAATGAGTGAATGACTGGATGGGTAAATGAGGGGATGAAGAGATGGCTGAATGAGTGGATGAACAGGAGGTTGAATGAATGAATGAATGGATGGATAGGAAAATGAAAGGAAGGGTGGATGGATGATTGAGTTGGTGAAAAAAGGAATGATCGATGGTTGAATGTGTGAATTAATGGATTATGAATGACTGAATTGACAGATATGTGAATGTATGAATGAATGGATGGGTGAATGAATGGATGCATGAATAAGTGGATAACCAGATGGCTGAAGGAGTGACTGATTGGATGGCTGAATGAATAGATAGGTGAATGTAGGGATGGGTGGTTGAATGATTGAATGGATGAACAGATGGATGATTGATGATAGATATGTGAATGAGTGAATTAATGGATTGGTGAAAGAATAAAAAAATGTATATATGAATGACTGAAATTATGGATAGGTGAATGAAACAATGAAAGATTGAAGATTGAATGAATAGTTAGGTGAATGAGTGATGATATATTGGCCAGTGAATGATTATGAACCTTTATATGAATGAGTGAATGAATGAATTGGTGAATGAAAGAGGGAATGAACAGATGGGTGAATGAGTGAATGGATAGGTGAAAGACTGAATGGAGGTTAACTAACGGATATGTGAATGAGTGAATGAAAAAAATGAATTAACAGGTGAATCAATGACTGGACAAAGAAATGGGTAGATGAATGTTTGGATAGGTGAATGAGTTGGGGATTAATGAGTTAATGAATGAATTGATGGATAATAAGTGAACTAATGGCTGAATTAATAGGGGGTTTAATGAGTGAATGAACAGATGAATATGTTAATGAATGGATGGATTAATGACTAAATAAATTGATTGATTAATGAAAGGACAGATGAATTAATGGATGGGTGAATGAGTGAATGAATGAGTGAAAGAGGGAATAAATGAGCAGATGAATGAGTGATGGATAGATGAGTTAATGAGCTAAGGAACCAATGGGTGAATGGATAGATGAATCAGTGATTGAACTCATGGATGGGTGAATAAATAGATGGATGACTGAGAGAATGAATGAATGGTCAGCTTCAGGAAGCTCCTCATTGGAAGAATCACCATGAAGCCGGGGGGACACTGGCATCGTCCCGTGGCGCCGTCACACATGCCCCCGTTCACACAGAGACATGGCTCCACGCAGCCGGGACCGTAGAACCCGCGAGGACACGTCTCATTACAGAACAGCCCCGCCCAGCCCGGCTGGCATGTGCACTCTCCTTTCATGGGGTGGCAGCTGCAAAGAGGCAATAGACGGGTCAGTTGACTGAACGACCCAAAAGGTTCTGGATGGGTTCTGTCCTTTAGGGCACATGTCCTATAACCAGGAGAAACTGATATTAGATGCTAATTGAATGAGAAGCTTGATCTACATTCTTAAGTGTATTAAAATCAGGATAACTAGAGGCTGGTCCGGCATTATTGAAAATCTCAATTATTTCAGTGATCCTGAAGGAAACGTCAGTAAAATGCCCAAAGGAATGAGAACCTCTTATCTGCATTTTCAGAATCCCAAAAGGACCTGCTGCTTTACTTTAGCATTTAATATCTCAGCATCATAAAAACTCATCTATGCTTTCTCCAAAAACCCCAAACTGTACTTGGTGTCATGTTTTAGACAGAAAAGTGTCTCAGAAATGCTCAGAGCCTCACCTCAGAGTGTGCTTCTCCTCACAGAGACACTTCTGCTCACAGTGAACCCCATAGTTCCCCGGCGGACACATCGGGTTCCTGCACTGAGGCCCCCTGAACCCCGGCTCACACAGGCAGCCGCCGTCGATGTTGAAGCACCGTGCACCGTTGGCACAGTCACACACACCTTTGCAGTCCTGGCCATAGGTTCCTGCAGCGCACTCCTCCTGACACCTGAAAGATCAGCAGGCAGGTTGAGCAGCAGAAGGCAAGGAGTCTCTGATGTGTGAGGAAGAGGAAACTTTGACATGGCTGCTGTAGGTCAGAGAACGGGACAGAGCTGAAGGAGAATGTATCAAAAAGTCCTGTTTGTTCAGGAGGTCTTGAGTCACATTTCTCCAGGTTTTTAAAGTCGTTTTCCAAACCCTGCAGGCACTGCTTTGAAATTGTTGGTGTGAAACATTACTACCGTAAATCCTCTAATATAGGATGGGGCCTATATTTCACTCAGGTACATCTTGGTCCAGGCCATTATTGGAAGGAGGCCAGAATTAGAGGCAGGCCTCTATTTCTATTTGATTAAAACAGACGACCAGTGGAATGAATAAAAACCAGATTGTGTCTCATTGAACCTATAAAATACCAGGTTCATTTATTGAAAAAGTACAGTTACAATAGCGATGTACAGAACATTATTCAGACATCTTCCAGCAGCTGCTATTTTTCTGTACGGCAATATGAAGAAAAAAAGACAGAATGGAATCTTGGCAAAACTGACTTGCGAAACAAAGTTTTAAAAAAATTAATGGAAACTGTTCTGCCATCACAGCGAAATTTTATTTGAGGCAGGCTAAGTGGAAGTAGGCTACCAGTATCATATATTTCAAGGGAAATTAAGAACAACGAAGGCCAACGACATTCTGTCATTTTAACGCTGCCTGGTTACCAGACCTACCGGTGATCACGTGTGGCTTTCAGATCAGAACGATCGTGTAAGGCCACTACGATCTCTGTGTAAGGATGGGACTTCCCATGCTAATGGCTTATATTCGTTAGCAAACACTGCCCCCCTGTGGTACTCGTGTGTTACTATCAGAAGTTGTTGAGGACTGTCCAGGAACATCGTTGATTCTAATTATAGTTCCGGTCTGTATACGAGCTCTAATTAGAACTTAACTCCGCCCACAGTGAGACCGGCCATTTTTAGAGTCCCGGCCGCTAATGGAATACAGGCCAATATTAGAGGATTTGCGGTATTAGTTCAACACAAAACAAACAATATCAGTTTGACACCAAAGTGCTAAATGACATATTTAATAGAGCAAATAAATAACTTGTGATGAACGTCTCGGCTTCGAACCATTTTAACCTGGAAACCATGGAATAATTATTATGAACTCTAAATAAATTATTTATCTGACAAATTAAAGAAAAAGAAATAAAACATTGGAGTTTTAACATCCAACATGGCTGCGCATGTAGGCAGCAGCATGAAACACTTCTCAACAGCTCCACAAAATACGGCACTTAGAACTATACAAATTAGGCATTGTCCTGCATCTACGACCACCAGCACCTGCTGGGGCTTCAGTCATAAAATGTTGTTTCTGGACTCTCTGGACTATTTGAAAAGCTGCGGGGGTGCTTCGAACAGACGAGAACAATGCAGCGGGCCCAGGGAGCAGGCCACGACAGGGTGAGGAATGAAGAAAGCGGAGTGCAAGATGACGACAGAGGGGCTGCAGAGGCGGGCTATTGGCGAAACTAAGGAGGAATCACCACAAACCACTGATCCTATCAATCCTGCTCTCCAATGTCCACTCTGACTGGAACTACAGTAACCTATGACAACCAGATAAATATGGATGAGTATGACTGTGTCAGCCTACAGTAGCAGCCATTGAAAATAGCCCCCCCCCCAATCAAACTCCAGCCGAATGGCAGCTTAAATCCCTGCAACTCCCAGCAAAACTCTCTACAACTTCCAAACACTGGAATGACCCCCTCCTTCTCCCGGGGGTGCATATGTTTTTGCTCTGACTCCAACCTTTCACTGAATTGCAGGGTCTGACCAGGAGTTGGCGCTTCTCTTTAGATCATAATGTCGACAAATCATGACAGAAAGACCAACCATGAACCTGCCAAGGACCAGCCGAGGGCCAACAAAAGACCAGCTGAGGACCCTCCATGGACCAGCCAAGGAGCAGCCAAGGACTCGCCTAGGTCAAGCCAAGGGCCAGCGAAGGACCAGCCAAGGACCTGCAAAGGATCTGCCATGGTCCCACAAAGGACCAGCCAAGGACCAGTTAAGGACCCCCCAAGGACAAGCCAAGGGCCAGCCAGGGCACAGCCAAGGAACTTCCAAGGACCAGCCAAGGACCAGCCATGGACCAGCCAAGGACCTGCCAAGGATCGACCAAGGACAAGCAAAGGACCCAACAAGGACCTACAAAGGACCAGCCATGGACCAGCCAAGGGCTGCCAAGGACCAGCATAGGCCTAGCCAAGGCCCAGCCAAGGACCCGCCAAGGACCAGCCAAGGGCCAGCCAGGGCACAGCCAAGGAACTTCCAAGGACCAGCCAAGGACCAGATGTGGACTAGCCAAGGACCAGCCAACTATAGAGATAGCTCAGCATTGAAGCAGGAACGAGATGGGTTGGTGTGTAGGTGTCACCACTTCCCTTCCCCCATCCGGATTTTAGGTTCACTTATTGAGTCATCCAATAATCCTGGGACTGACCACCGGTGCCGCCGGGTCTTTGGTCCTGGGATTATTGGATGGATGTGAGGGTGAGTATGTGTGAATGTGTGTCCGCCTTTTTTTTTGTTTTTTCTGTGTGGTTATAGTGGGGGCACTAGGGTGGGAAGGCGAGATTGAGACAGTCCGTTTTTTTTTCTTTTCTCTCTCCCAGGTTGGGGTCTGAACTGCTCCCTCTCCCAAGCACATCTCAAGTCTCCGCCAAGTGTGGCGGCCATTCCCCCCATCCTGCACTGGTGGAGCTCGGGGTTAGGGGGTGTTAACCTGGGTGGCCACTGGCTCATTCCTGGCGGCTTCTCTGCACAGCCAGGCCGGCTGGGCCTGGCTGGGGCTCCTGCCGGGGGATGGGGTGCCCCTGGGGCCTCGGATCCCTTAGGCCCCAGGGCCGGATTCACTGTGGGGTGGCTGGCTCCCGGTGGAGCCCGTGGACTCATCCCCGTGGCTCCCGGGGGCGCCAGCATTGCGGTGGCTGGGGGACTTCCTCGAGGCCGTCTCTCCGCCTCCCTTGGTGGGGATCGGATTTCCTGGGCTGGCCCCTCCTTGGTGCCTTCACTCTTGGGGTCCCTTTGGGCGTCTGGGGCTTTCAGTCTCCTGGCGCTGGACTCAGTGCTCTGGGGGGGCGCCTCTTCGGCTCTTCAAAACCACTATTGAGCATTTTTTCTTTGGATAAACTTTACATGCACAAGTGCACTCTGACAAACAACTACAGGTGATGGTTCCAGGTACTCAGAGATTCACTTCCACACAGAAAGCCCACATTCTGGTCTTCAGGTACCACAGAGTACATGTCAGATTAAATAATACTACTTCAGCGATAGTATCTAGGTGTTACTTTATTGTATGTCTCCTTCCATGTCTGTTGGTTGTTCTGTTCTTTTTACATCTCTTTGCAGGTGATGAAGCAGACTGACAATATTTTTTCATTATCTCCCTTTTATCTTCTCTTTCTTTCATCTTTTCTCCCTTTGTTCTGTTTTTCTAATCAGATCTCTGATATCAGACAGAGCTTGGCCATTTGGATTTTATCAGAACTCTGGCTGCAGCATTTTGGATCAGCTGAAGGCTTTTAACTACAGTTTGTGGACTTCCTGATAGTAAAGAATTACAATAGTCCAGCCTTGAAGTAACAAATGCATGGACTAGTTTCTCAGCATCGGCCCAGAAATCAGTTTAATCCCATCCAAATGAAGTGACTGACTAATCAGCTTCTTTTTCAGAGACTCTGGTCCAAAGACTATAACTTCTGTTTTGTCTGCATTCAGGAGCAGAAAGTTAAGAGTCATCCAGGTTTTTATGTCTTCAGACATGCCTGTAATCTATGTAATGGGTTAGCTTCATCTGGATTATAGACAGATATAGCTGGGTATCATCAGCATAACAGTGGAAATCAGCTTAACCAGCATAACATCTTTTCTCTTTTCCAACATAAGCTGGACGAAATTCCTACCCAATCCTTTGTGACTGTAAGGGACTGCAGCCACGTGGAGACATCTAGATATAAACCTGTGAATCATCTGCGTATTGCAGCAAGAGTATTTTATAAAAGTGAACTTGAGGATTCCCTTATTTGATTTGCATATCACAATGGCTGCCAATAGTCATGTAGGACCATAAAAAATGTCACATGGTCTTCTCCAAACCCACCTGTCCCCAGTGAACCCTGCGTTGCATTGGCAGTGTCCAGTTAAAGGGTCACATTTACCGCCATTGTGGCAAACACACTCCTCTGTGCAGTTTGGTCCAAACTTCCCATCAGGACATGGTTCCGTGCAGACAGCACCCTGCCAAACACCAAATGTTATTAGAAACAAGCTAATGTTCCAGTCCAGACCAACAGAGAAGATCCGGGTGGAAGCCTGAGAACGTACCGTCCATCCAGACGGACAGGCGCAGACCCCTTTGCCCTTACAGTGGCCATCATTCTGGCAGGAACACCGCGGCTGGCATCTCTTTCTGCACGTCTTCTCACAGCTGCAGGATGATGGAGATGAGGAGACGGTTAAGTGGCTGAGGACTAAAATCAAGGTTTCTGTCCTATTATCATGAATTTGATTATTAAGCCATTGAGTCTGGATGTTGAGCTGCCGATTCTGAAGCAATACCTAGATTTCTGTCACATCAAACAACAGCAGAGCATGTTTGTCTAAAGCTACAGTTTTTTACTCATGTTCTTCTCATTACGACGTCCAGGAGGTAGAAAAAGACACATTTCAAACATTCCTATAACAGAGCTGCATCTTATCCAACCTGCTGCCAAGTTTCTGCTTTTTCCTCCCTGAAAAGAATAGTGCTGATATGTAAAGCTGGCAGGAAGCTAGCTTAAACTTAGAGCAATGTGCAGTGGAGTCATGTTCTCTTGTCTTCAGAGGGAGCTTAAAGCAGGGTGTAACAGATGACTCATGGAGCAGCATGGAGCAGATCATCGGGGGTCTTTTCCTTCTTCAAATTAAGCTGGGAAAACTCAAAACAGCCGCTCATAAAAGAAATGAAAACTGGCTGTACCTGCAGGGAAAACTGAGATAATGAAGTGTTCCGTAATGAAGTCTGGATAAAAAGTCTCCCTGAAGAACTTCTGCTCTAAAGCGGACATTTTCATTTTCATCTAAACATGGAAATGTTCAGGTCCTGATCCAGGTCCTGATTTAGGCTCGGATTTAGGCTCTGATTAAGGCTCTGATTCAGGTTTTGATTCAGGCTCTGATCCAGACTCTGTTAAGGTTCTGATTCAGGTTCTGGTTCAGGTTCTGATTCAGGTTCTGATTCAGGTTCTGATCCAGACTCTGATTCAGGTTCTGATTCAGGTCCTGATCCAGGTCCTGATTTAGGCTCGGATTTAGGCTCTGATTAAGGCTCTGATTCAGGTTTTGATTCAGGCTCTGATCCAGACTCTGATTAAGGCTCTGATCCAGGTTCTGATTTAGGCTCGGATTTAGGCTCTGATCCAGGTTCTGATTTAGGCTCGGATTTAGGCTCTGATCCAGGTTTTGATTCAGGCTCTGATTCAGGATCTGATTCAGGTTGTGATTAGGGCTTGGAGTCAGGCACTGAATCAGGCTCTGATCCAGGTTCTGATTCAGGCTCTCATTTAGGCTCCTGTCTGGGCTTTGATGTGGACTCTGACCCAGGCTCTGGTCTGGGCTTTGATCTGGGCTCTTATTCAGGCGCTGGTCTGGGCTTTGATCTGGGCTCTGATCCAGGCTCTGGTCTGGGCTTTGATCTGGGCTCTGATTCAGGCACTGGTCTAGGCTTTGGCCCAGGCTCTGATCAAGGCTCTGGTCTGGGCTTTTTCACGGGCTCTGATCCAGGCTCTAGTCTGGGCTTTTATCCGGCTCTGGTCTGGGCTTTGATCCAGGCTGTGATCCAGGCTCTGGTCTGGGCTTCGATCTGGGCTCTGGTCTGGGCTTTGATCCAGGCTGTGATCCAGGCTCTGGTCTGGGCTTTGATCCAGGCTGTGATCCAGACTCTGGTCTGGGCTTTGATCCAAACTGTGATTCAGGCTCTGGTCTGGGCTTCCATCTGGGCTCTGGTCTGGGCTTCGATCTGGGCTCTGGTCTGGGCTTTGATCCAGGCTGTGATCCAGGCTCTGGTCTGGGCTTCGATCCAGGCTCTGGTCTGGGCTTTTATCCAGGCTGTGATCCAGGCTCTGGTCTGGGCTTTGATCCAGGCTGTGATCCAGGCTCTGGTCTGGGCTTCGATCTGGGCTCTGGTCTGGGCTTTGATCCAAGCTGTGATTCAGGCTCTGATCCGACCTGTTATTCAAGCTTTAGATCTGAGCTAAGATCTGAGCTCTGAATTAGGGGAATTAGGTCCACCTAGTTTTTCTAATCTAATGCCATTTTTTTTTGCTTACTAAATAATCTGTAATCCATTGTGTGTTACTTTTGGACTTACTTTTGACCAGACAAACTGGCAGATCTTACTGTAAACTTACAAAGTCCCGGTGAAGCTGAGCGGACAGGTGCATTCTCCAGTTGCTCTGTCACAGGACCCTCCGTTCTTACACCTGCAGCTCTGCAGACAGCCCTTCCCAAAGGTCCCAGCTGGACAGGCGTCCTCACAGGAGGATCCAAGGAACCCGGGAGGACACTGACAGGACCCCTTCACAGGATCACAGTGGGCTCCGTTTTCACATTTGCACACCTGGCTGCATTCTGGACCCCAGTGTTTTTCATCGCAGGCTGGAAGAGAAAAGGAGGACAGTGGATATGGAGCCTGAACTCGCTGAGAAGATGTGTTTCTGCTGCATGGAGCTAAAATACCAGCATTCACTTCTGTAGACTTTGGTGTTTCTGACTGCGATTAAAGATTCAGACTGCAGGCTGCAGAGTGTAGGACCTCACGTCAGACCAGAACCAGCTGCTTTCTATTGGCCGCCTTGTTTCTGCTTCTCCCATTTGAGGTGTCAGATTACCAGCTAGTGAGCATGAGGTCTGCATGGAGCTCAGAGTGGAGGAGAAATTCTCAGGATGAGAAACAAAGGAACCAAACAACCCCCATTCCAAAGGGACGGACCTGTTCGTCCGACTCGTTAAGCATGTTTTCTAAGCCAAGACCTTGTTGCTCCAAAACTCCAAAACAACTCAAAACAAAGTCCAGTGTATTGATTTTTAACTTTTTGAGGAATTCAGATGGTGAGCATCAGAGACCTGATTGGCTCTGGAAGAGTTTTTCTACATGCAGAGATTCACATTAGTTTTGGATTTAAGGAAAAATATCAGATTGGTCAGAGCTGCAAACTTCAGATTTCTGCTCAGTGACTCCAGCTCAGGATTCTACTGGGGAGACATGATCTCCAGTAACACTGATGGAGCTTGGAGACGTAAACCAGTCCTCTGATGTCATACTGAATAATCCTTTGTTATGTGAGCGACTTTCAACAGTATAAGCAGCCCCCCCCACTCCCGCCCCCCATGTCCCAGTGAGCTCTGTGGATGATCTGTCTAGGAGAGGAGGAGCACCAAATTAGGGCTGGAGTCCCTCAGCCAGGGGCTGCAGTGTTTACTGTGGAGGTGGCGCCTCCTGCTGTTTGTAAAGAGTCACGTCTGATCCTCTGGGCAACAAGAAAATGTGCAGCTGAAGGAGGTCAGAGTGAGAAAGTAGAGACAATGTTTAGAGAGAAGCAGGTCGGGGGGGGGCTGGAGAACAGTGCGTCCATGCCTTCTGCATTACGGTGACCAGACGTCCCCGATTTCCAGGGACAGTCCCTGTTCTGGACCCCCCGTCCCTGGTTAAACCTGTCCTCGAACATTTCCCAGCCTTTACCGTCTTATGAATGAAGGGGAAATGTTGCGTTTAGACTGTTATTACGGTAGAAAGAGTGAGTAAGAAGCGGAAGTTGGTTATCAGTAGGGATCTCAGCTTCCCTGTGTGATGGTGGTGGTGGGGGGGGGGGGGGGGGGTTAATCAGTTCATTTGATCTGAACTGGGCTGATCATGGGGATAAATGTTTGCTTCGTTCCCAGGTTAATAAAAAATAGAGCTTTGATGTGTTTGTTTTACCAAAGATAAGGAGCGGAAATGTAAGATAAACCAAACTAATCAACCAACAGTCAGTCAGACCATTGGCTGCAGCTGCAGGAGGAAACAGACTCAGATCAAATGAACCAGAATGACTGAAAACTCCTTATAAGGAGCTAATCTGGTTTAAGGTTCTCCAGAATCAACCAGGGTTCATCTAAAGATGTTTTTAGAACTGAAGGGTGATCTTTAGTTTATATCTTCAGCCTCAGCAGATGGCCGCTCACACTGAGCCTGGTTCTGCTGGAGGTTTCTTCCTGTTCAAAGGGAGTTTTTCCTCTCCACTGTCGCTACAAGCATGCTTAGTGTGAGGGATTGCTGAAGAGCCAATGAGTCGATGCAATCAGCTGGTTTTCCTCAAAAACTTTGAACAAATCTGATCTGATGATCTGGTTGTTCTAGATCTATAAAGTGAGACGAAATGATGTGAATTGGAGCTATAGAAATAAACTGAATAGAGCTGAATTGGCAGGCTAGCCAACACCTATAACAACTGGATAAAAAAGCTATGAGTTGCTGCAACATTTCATTTCCTGGGATCAGAAACGACTCGACTGCAGAAGAACGGAGCAGAAAATAAAGGAGGAAAGAAAACAAAGCAGAGATGGAAAATCAGAAGGAAGAGACGTTAAGTGGAGGTTTGGAAGGCAGGGAAAGTGGTTTCACTTTTTCCATTTCCCTTCCCATCCTCCCCCTGTCCGGGTTGGGGCTGCTACACGCTGCAGCTAATTTGAGACTTTAGCCAAATAACGAGGGGGGGGGGGCTGTGTACTATTGACCCAGCTGACAGAGGAGAAGAGGTAGTGGAAAGTTGGTTTCCATCCTGCTCTGGGTCGGCTCTCTGGGTTCAGAATGACTGAGACGTAGTTATATAACCGCTCTGCTAACGTTTCATCCTCTAAGAGGGAAGAATGTCATGAAAACAAGTTTATTTCAGTTTGAAAAGTTTAAAGTGCTTCCTGCACAGAGAGCTTGGTGAGCTGTTGCTGCGTGGTGTCAGGCTCCCTTTGCTGGAAAAACCTTGGCTGTCATGGCATCTAGAATCTGCTCATCTTTGCTCTACATTCTATGTTTTAGTAGTAAATAAAAATGAATAAATGAAGAAGTTGGAGAGAAAAGCAGCTCCTTACAGCTGGAGCAGTCGCCTCCTCGCCATCCTTTCTCACACTGGCAGCGGTTTGGAGCGACGCAGCGACCGTGGACGCATTCCTTGGTGCAGTGAGCTGGAGAGGAGAAGGACAGAGATCAGCAGGTTAGCTCATTCTATGTCTTCTATTGCTAAAACCTGCATGATGCAGAATTCCTCTGAACGGATGGAGCTGCAACCTCTACAGATTAACACAGAATAGAATCAGATCTCCTTTATTGTCCCTGACTGGGAAACTCGTCCCAGGAAGAGTTTCAGCCTCAATCCAGCTAAAAACAAACGTTTAGAGCCACGTATGAACATTTAATAATTGATTTAATTTACATTTCTAGGTTTCATAATGATTGACACATTTTATTCTAAAGATAAAATCATCATTATCATAAAAAATGAAGAAGTCATTTCTATAAAGGCTGGAGCCTCTGAGCACAGCCTGACCTGGGATCCTGCCTTCTATTCTAGATCTGCTATGATCAGAGCTTCTCTCTCCATCGGTAGGATTAGATCCTATCAGCGTCCTTAGCGCTCTGCTAGTGCTTCATCCAGTTCCTCCAGTTCCTCCAGTTGCTTCATTCATTCACTGATGGCTTCATCTCTTGCATCCGTCTTCCTGATGTTTTCTTGGAGCTCTGATCTTCGATGGCGGCCCTGATGCTCCCTGGGCCTCGGCCTCCATCTCTACTGTTAGTCTGTTGATACTGGGTTAAAGTTCCACCACGGCTCCCGAGTAGCTGACTTCTCATATCTATATATATATACAGAGAAAAGGCATCTACATGATATAGATCTGGTATTATCAGTGTCTCTCTGGTCAGCACATTTTATTGGGATTATTCTATGAAAACAAGCAAACAGAAAAAGTATTCAAGCCCTAATTTGTTAAGATCAAAACTATGAATTTTCACGTTCTTGGTTCTGTTTTCCTTTGAGTATTCAGTTTCACTTTGCTCCATGTTTTCTAGTTTTATTTGTTTAATTCCTATTTTGTTGTGTTTTCTGGATGTATTTGAGTTCTTAGATTGTTCTTTGCTGCCCTTTGCTGCCCTCTAGTGTTGGTGTCGTTTTCTCCAGGTCCTTCTAGAATCCTCTCTTCACACCTGCTCCCGATCAGCTCAGAAGTCCTGTCTTTGTTCAGTCCCCCATGTAAACTCTCCCTGTGCCGTTCCTCAGTGCTGCTTCCTCGTCTCTCCTCGGCTCCTCATGCTTGTTTTCCTGATGTCTCCACGGTCATGAATTCCTGCCTCTGTTACCTGTTGAGAACTCCATTAAAACTAAAAGAACTCTCCTCTGCCTCACAGCCTCAACCAAACCCTGACATTAACTGGTTCTTAACATTTTCAGCTCAAGTTATTCTAAAGGTCCAAATAATCTCTGCTGGTTCTGTAGCTGCAGGAAGTTTAGTTCTGCTCCCAGAAGATGGTAAGAAAATCCGCTAGTGGAGAACAATGAGTCTCTAGGTCACTAGCACCTGCCTCAGAGTTAGCTTAGCATCGAGGATCATTCATTTCTAGTCATTTATCAGCATCCCTCCATCAGCCAATCGGTTCATAACTGCATCCCTGCTGATACCTTTGCACCTTCTGACTGAAGTTCTATTCAGTTTATTTCTATAGCTCCAATTCCATTATATAATCTCACTCACTTTATAGATCCAGATCAGCCAGATAATCCAGTCAGATTGATTCAAAGTTTTCTATCTAAGGAAAACCAGCTGATTGCATCGACTCATTGACTCTTCAGCAATCCCTCACACTAAGCATGCTTGTAGCGACAGTGGAGAGGAAAAACTCCCTTTGAACAGGAAGAAACCTCCAGCAGAACCAGGCTCAGTGTGAGCGGCCATCTGCTGAGGCCCACTGGGGTTCATTACCGAGGAGATGGAGTTGATGGTGTCAACTGAGCTGTCAGGCTCAGCTGTCTGATCCAGCAGCACAGGAGCACCACAGGGCACGGTACTCTCTCCATTCCTTTTTCCCCTGTTCACCTCTGGCTTCCAGGACCAGACAGAGTCCTGTCCTCTGCAGGAATCCTGGGATGACTCTGCAGTCATTGGGAGCATCAAAGATGGAGCAGAAGCTGAGGACAGAGAGCTGGTGAAGCACTTTGTGGCATGGTGTGGAAACAATCATCTGATCCTGAAGGTCAACAAAACAAGGAGATGATTGGAGGTTTCAGAGAAAACAGGAACAAGTTGAATCCTGTTAACATCCTGGGAGAAGAAGAGGAGGAGTAGATTCCCTTGGTGTTCACCTGGACAACAACCTGGACTGGAGACACAACTGGGAAGCCGTCTGCAAGAAGGAACAGAGCAGACTGGACTTCTAGAGGAAGCTGAGGTCCTTCAGAGGCTGCAGATCTTCTATCAGTCTGATCTCTGCCTCCATCATCATCATCATCATCATCATCATCAGAGCTAATGACTGAAAGAAGCTCAACCAGCTCCTCTAGAACCTCTGGAGATGAAGAAGATGATGAACAGCAGTGAGCATCCTCTTCATCAGACTGTTCTGGTACGCTCAAATCGGATGAGCTTTGAGCAGCAGAAGAAGCTGGTTTATATGCAAATTCTATGGTCTAAAGCTCCTGCAGCATCAGAGCAGCAGGAGGCGCTGCTGAGCATCTGAGGCGCTTCACCAGCAGGAGTTGCTGGAAACATTGACCTTTAGCTGCTGGACATGAACCAATGAGAGCAGCTGATCTGGGAGCTGGCAGGGAGTCAGACGCAGCACTGCTGATGCAGAGCGCTATGATCACTCCTCTGAAACCGTTTATTAACGCCTAAATTAACTTCAAATGTAGAAACCTGCCTGCAGAATATGTTGGCTTTTATTATCCTGCTGCCTGCAGTTTGTAGCACAGACCTGAAAAACGCTAACATCTACTTCCAGCCGCCACCAACAGGAGGGGAAAACCCTGGAGAGGCGAGCGGGCCTGAGGCAGCTGCTGCTGGGGATTCCCAGTGACAGCGCAGCGCCGGTATGTGGGGGTCTGAGCGGCTCCCACAGAGAAATAATCTTTGAAGGCAGGATGGTAATCTGGATGAACTGACTGCACAGACCATGTTTTCAGGAGGACTTTCTCACTTCAACATAGATTCTAACTACTTTCTACCCGCTGATCACAGCTAATATAGCAAAGCTGCTCTCTGGCATCGAACACAGGAGCAGCAGAAGCATCTGGAGAAACTTTACTGGACGGCTGACCTTAATGAGGATCAGAGATGAAGCAGCAGCAGCTGTTTAAATTGAACATAGCTTTAAACAACAACAGAGTGTCAGTCAGGGACTCCTCCAGTTCTGGTGAAACACAGACCTCTACAGAAGACCCTTCCTTTCTACAGCATCAACGTCGACAACGACTGGGTACTAACAAAACTATTGGTTACTGACATATATGCATATATTTTTTTGAATTGATCTCCATTGTCTTGCTCTGCACCCCCCCACAGAACTCACCCCCACCTGATCTTCATAATACCATCTATGTTTCTGTTTGAAATGTTGAAAGGTGAGGCGACCACAAGTGTCCAGCAGGGTGCCTGTAAATACTGTTTATATTATTATTATTATTATTATTATTATTATTATTATTATTATCATCATCATCATCATCATCATCATCATCATCATCATCATCATCATCATCATCATCATCATCATCATCATCATCATCATCATCATCATCATCATCATCATCATCATCATCATCATTATTATTATTATTATTATTATTATTATTATTATTATTATATTATTATTATTATTATTATTATCATCATTATTATTATTATTATTATTATATTATTATTATTATTATTATCATCATTGTTATTATTATTATTATTATTATATTATTATTATTATTATTATTATTATCAGTATTATTATTATTATTATTATCATCATTGTTATTATTATTATATTATTATCATTATTATTATTATTATTATTATTATTATTATTATTATTATTATTATTATTATTATTATTATTATCAGTATTATTATTATTATTATTATCATTATTATTATTATTATCATCATTATTATCTCTCTATCAACTTAAATATTTGTAATTAAACAGTTTTACACTTTTAATCATCTAGTATTTATAATTCTAATAGTGAAATCACTGTTTTCACGCTGTCTCCTTCTAATGCTTCATTTTACAGTCAGTTCATCTGTGGGGACGTCTAATAAAGATCCTGGGGGGGCCCCACCAGGGGCCCCTGTGCTCCCCTCTGGCTGCGATAAATCCAGGTATAGATATTTAGATGTTAGAGCTGTTGAAATCTGGTGCCGATGCTGAGTCACTTATGTTTGAAGAAACCCAAACAGATCTGATGTGTTTCAGTTTGAATCAAACCCATAATTTGGATTATTTACGTCCCACGAGCCGCTGTGGAAAAACAAGCAGCTTCTATGAAAATGAAACGTTTCACTGAAAAACCGCAGCGGCCAGTTTTTCTCCAGTTAATTACGGCAGCGCTGAAAGTTTTCCAACTGCTTCATCATCATCATCATCCTCATCATCGTCATCCAGACTCAGGGTACAGAAGATGATTTTTAACTGTTGACCAAGAATCTAAAGCTGGAGATGCTAATCTACGGATGTCAGTGGAAAATATTCCCGTTTCTATAATTAGAAAATGTTTGGGAAAAAGATGGAGGTCATCAAAGGTCATGGTTTGACTGAGGAACTCTTCTCCCTGACGTGACAAACGTTCACAACAAAACACAAATGGTTGCAGATCTAGTTTACTGAGTGAAAAGCATGAATCTGCCTGATGTTCTTTAATCTTTGCAGCAGGTCCAGTTTTAGACCAGAGATCTGATCAATCCACCATCTGGACATGGAAGAAGATGGACCATCTAGTTTAGGTTGTTTAAGGTCCTGCTGTTAGAAGCTCACAGCATCTCCTAAACCTGGACCTTTTCTGCTGTGATAAAAACCTTCATGCTGAAGTCAAACTTCATGATGAGTTAACTTTGCTGCATAGCTGGACGCTGATCAGACTGAAGCTTCCAGCTCTCGACATTTTAACTTTAAAACAGGCCAGAGGAACCAGGATTCCTTTGACTCCATTTTTATGTACCGCTGCCCGTCGCCTGGATCCCTGTTTAGTTGCTCTGAACTGGAAACCAAAACCTTTAAAACTTCAGACTTTATAAAAGCATCTGGTCTGGTTAGAGTCCAACAGCATTTCAGAAACGGTTCCACTTACCGACACATTGGCCCCGGCTCTCATAGAAGCCCGGACAGCAGTGGTACCTCCTGCGGTACTGGGTCCTTACCGCCTGCCTGTAGGCTGTTCTGTAGGTGATCCTGAAAGATTCTCACAATCAGAAAGTTCTGACATAAAGACCCAGAGACAGAGAAACAAGGCGGGTCAGAACCTGTGATTCTGGCATCGGTAGGACGTCCGCGGGTCCGAGCACGGCACCTCCATCACATGGTCATAAGGATGGGAGTAGGACTCCTTCACTGAGGTGGTGTAGCTGGAGGCAAAGGAGAGACAGTTCTGTTGGGTTCTGATCCAGTCTGCCTTTAACCCCTTCAGCCTGGTGGTTCCGGTACCAGGACCGACTGACACCTGGTTATCTATTCATAGAAATGGCCCAAACACAGTCACATGGTGTTTCATCCACACGCCTTTCAAACTGGGGCTTTAAATTGTTTCAAAATTATTTTTAACATGAATATTTTTGTTTAATAGCTGCGTAAACAAATAAAATGAGAATTAAAATTCCACCTGATGTGAGTGACTCTGCTGGAATAATGCAACAGCACCTGATCTGTTTTAGCCCCGCCTCCTAACGGCCAGGATCTCTGGAAACTAGAGATTTAAACCTTTCCAACGAGGTGTCGGACATTACTGAGCAACTATTTCAGGCGATGTAAAAGGCGTGCGTAACGAATGCCTGCTGGGAGCGTAAAGCTCTCCGTATATCAGCATCAGTTCACGTTACGCTCAGCAGCCTGGAGGTTTGCTCTGCGCCATGGATCCTGCTTCACCTTCCGTTTCTCTCTATCAGTTTATTTCAATGAACCGTGACGGCTCAGAAGCGGAAAATGACCCATTTGGAAGCTTAGAGGAAATCTTGCGAGCAGTAACGGTGAAATGAGAAATCATCAGACAGCCTGGAGGGTGAGGAGGAGGAAGAGGAGGAAGAACAGTTTTTACTACTAGATGTTGGAGCTTGGCCTGTTTTCCAGTGTAGTCCTGTTTCTCTGACTGTGACTAACTGGATGTGCTCTCTTCATCCTCTGACATGGAAGCTGGCTCGGAGCTCGTCTGCCTGGCTGTGTGTTTCCTGGACGGGGCCGCCTGTGGAGCTGGTTGACAGTTGCCTTTTGTATCTATGCTTCTTTTTCTATGTCTGCTTCTGTCTCCTTGAACCCCAGTGGGCCTCAGCAGATGGCCGCTCACACTGAGCCTGGTTCTGCTGGAGGTTTCTTCCTGTTCAAAGGGAGTTTTTCCTCTCCACTGTCGCTACAAGCATGCTTAGTGTGAGGGATTGCTGAAGAGTCAATGAGTCGATGCAATCAGCTGGTTTTCCTTAGATAGAAAACTTTGTATCAATTTGACTGTATGATCTGGTTGAACTGTAAAGTGCCTTCAGATGACATGTTGTGAATTGGCGCTATAGAAATAAACTGAATTGAATTGAACTATTATCTCTGTCTGTACGGCTCACATGGAAACTGGAGAAACGACACAGAAGCTGTGGTTCTTATTTCTCCTCTCCGACTGTCTGACTGCAGAACGATTTCCAGACCGGCTGCAGCGCCTTGCTCTTCATCTGCTTTATGTGATGTTTTCACTGGGATTATTTTTATTAATTGAGTCTAAACAGCTGTATTTATAAACCCCCCCCCCCTCAGGGAAATATGTACAACTTTGAAAATAATCACATTCAGCCAATAAAGTTTAATTTAATGTCATTAATGACCTTGCTGTGATAAACTCCATTTATTTATTTTTATAGTCCGGATGTCCAGGGGCCATAACAGACAGCAGGCCAGGTCCCCCCCCCCACACCTGAGACTTGATTCTATTCAAGGTGAGATTTCTATTCTGCAAAGATCTGCATAGATCTGCATATATTAGTTCTGATGTATCATAACTTCCTTACATTTATGTGATGATTAGAAGTCAGTGTCAGATGCAGACTTATTGTTGTTTTCAGAGGAAATATATTCTATATATTACAGCGAAGATGCTGAAGAATAGAAGGAGAATAGAAGGAGAATAGAAGGAGAATAGGAGGAGAATAGAAGGAGAATAGAAGGAGAATAGAAGGAGAATAGAAGGAGAATAGAAGGAGCCGCCGCCTTCAGCCTCATCATTGGAAAGAACACAATTAAAAAGGCAGAAAAGACACAAGGTGGGGAAAGAAAATCAAATGGTCACAATTCAATCATTTTTAGCACGTTTTTTACATAATAATTTGCATGAAGTAATATTTTGCAAATTTTCTTGACAGAAGCTTCTGATTCTAATTTATTTTTTTAATTTTTGTACAGTTTTTGGATTTCTAATTCTTGTTTTTTTTATAAAATATCCCTGTTTCATTCGTCTTATTTTCTATTCAGTTAGGTCATATTACTGTGTGTTTCATGCTAAATTTATAACTTTATGCATAAAAAGTCTCCAATAATGTAAATCAGCCTATTGTCTGCTCAGATTCCCTTTTATGAGTGAAAAATGCTAAATCCCATTTCCTCCAAACGCACCGCCCACTAAAACCTTTGTGGAACAGACATGATTCGACTGATTCAGTCCAGATTAACTTTAGTTATACAGGTGCTGGTCATAAAATTAGAATATCATGAAAAAGTAGATTGATTTCAGTAATTCCATTTAAAAAGTGAAACTTGTATATTATATTCATACATTACATACAAACTCATATATTTCAGATGTTTATTTTGTTTAATTTTGATGATTACAAATGACAACAAATGAAAATCTCAAATTCATCATATCAGAAAATTAGAATATTACTGAAGACCAATAAAAACAAAGGATTTATAGAAATGTTGGCCAACTGAAAAGTATGAACATGAAAAGTATGAGCATGTACAGCACTCAGTATTTAGTTGGGCCTCCTTTGGCCTGTATTACTGCAGCAATGCGGCGTGGCATGGAGTCGATCAGTCTGTGGCACTGCTCAGGTGTTATGATAGCCCAGGTTGCTCTAATAGTGGCTTTTAGCTCTTCTGAATTGTTGGGTCTGGTGTATTGCATCTTCTTCTTCACAATACCCCATAGATTTTCTATGGGGTTAAGGTCAGGAGAGTTTGCTGGCCAATTAAGAACAGGGATACCATGGTCCTTCAACCAGGTACTGGTAGCTTTGGCACTGTGTGCAGGTGCCAAGTCCTGTTGGAAAATGAAATCTGCATCTCCAAAAAGTTGGTCAGCTGCAGGAAGCATGAAGTGCTCTAAAACTTCCTGGTATGTGGCTGCGTTGACCCTGGACCTCAGGAAACACAATGGACCAACACCAGCAGATGACATGGCACCCCAAACCATCACTGACTGTGGAAACTTTACACTGGACTTCAAGCAACGTGGACGAAGTGCCTCTCTTCTTTTCCTCCAGACTCTGGGACCTTGATTTCCAAAGGAAATGCAAAATTTACTTTCATCAGAGAACATGACTTTGGACCACTCACCAGCAGTCCAGTCCTGTTTCTCTTTAGCCCAGGCAAGACGCTTCTGACGCTGTCTGTGGTTCAAGAGTGGCTTGACACAAGGAATGCGACAGCAGAAACCCATGTCTTTCATACGTCTGTGTGTGGTGGTTCTTGAAGCACTCACTCCAGCTGCAGTCCACTCTTTGTGAATCTCCCCCACATTTTTGAAGGGGTTTTGTTTCACAATCCTCTCCAGGGTGCGGTTATCTCTCTTGCTTGTACACTTTTTTCGACCACATCTTTTCCTTCCCTTCGCCTCTCTATTAATGTGCTTGGACACTGAGCTCTGTGAACAGCCAGCCTCTTTAGCGATGACCTTTTGTGTCTTGCCCTCCTTGTGCAAGGTGTCGATGGTCGTCTTTTGGACAACTGTCAAGTCAGCAGTCTTCCCCATGATTGTGTAGCCTATAGAACTAGACTGAAAGACCATTTAAAGGCTTTTGCAGGTGGTTTGAGTTAATTAGCTGATTAGAGTGTGGCACCAGGGGCCATCAATTTTGAACCTTTTCACAATATTCTAATTTTCTGATATGATGAATTTGAGATTTTCATTTGTTGTCATTTGTAATCATCAAAATTAAACAAAATAAACATCTGAAATATATGAGTTTGTATGTAATGTATGAATATAATATACAAGTTTCACTTTTTAAATGGAATTACTGAAATCAATCTACTTTTTCATGATATTCTAATTTTATGACCAGCACCTGTAGTGAAGCTGTGGATCTATAAACTCTGAGGATTCATCCAGAGTTTGTGGAAGTCCATCAAAATGGGCCTCCATGGTGTTTCGCATGTTTATTGTGGAAAAAAAAGGTGGTGAGGCTGAATAGTTTTAATTTTTAATCACCTATAAATCAGACAAATAGTGATTCCACCTGAAAAATATTCCTCCAGCCTTTTCTGTCACACAGATACAAACAATTGTACTTCCAATTTATAGTTTGGGAGCCGAACTTTAATTCACATTTAACTCACATTTGCTTTAATTCACATCTGTAATTTCAGGCAGAATTTCCTCCTAAGAGCCTCGGGGCTTAAGAATGGGAGCAGGACTGGAGCTGGAGGCAAAGGGTTCAGATCCAAAGTGCCTTTAATCCTCTTTGCTTTCCAGAAATCAATGAATATCTCAGGATTTATCATCTTTCTGACTTTCAAACTAGTGAACAGACTGATGGATCCACTTTGTCCTGATTTTACGGATCCAGGAAAAAGAAAATCCACCAAACAGCAACATCTGTCCACATCTGTTGGCAAAATCAGGAGGAGAGTAGAAACTGACCCAGAACGCCTAGATGGGCAGAGGTGGACCTGGAAAGGCCTGGAGAGACCTGGAGAGGCCTGGAGATGCCTGGAGATGCCTGGAGAGGCATGGAGAGGCATGGAGGGGCACACAAGCATGCTTAGTGTGAGGGATTGCTAAAGAGTCAATGAGTCGATGCAATCAGCTGGTTTTCCTTAGATAGAAAACTTTGAATCAATCTGACTGGATGATCTGGTTGATCTGGATCTATAAAGTAACCTGAGATGACATGATGAGAATTGGAGCTATAGAAATAAAGTGAATAGAATTGGGGAGGCATGGACGGGTCTGAAGAGATCTGAAACCATCTGAGAGGTTCCATTGTTATAAAATGATGGATTTTATTCTCAGCCAAATGTCAGGATCAGGTGTTACTTTGCAAATATCAAATATCTCTGAACTGCATGACCTCAGCTTAGTCCTTCACTCCATCCTGCAGCACCTGGATTCTGCAGGTTCCTACGCCAGGATCCTGTTGGTGGATTTCAGCTCTGCTTCAGGAGAAGCTCTCCCAGCTGAGGGAGCCTGACTCCACCTGCAGGTGGATCACAGACTTCCTGTCTGACAGGAAGCAGCAGGTGAAGCTGGGAAAACATGTCTGACCCTCAGCTCATCACCTCATCAGCTCATCAGCTCATCAGCTCATCACCTCATCAGCTCATCACCTCATCACCTCATCACCTCATCACCTCATCAGCTCATCAGATGGTCCAGCAGAGGATGTACTTCCTGCTGCAGCTGAAACAATTCAACCTGCCAAGGACAATGATGGTGCTCTTCTATTATATATATAACTATATATTATATATATTATATTGTATGTTGTATATAGCTATAGATTCTTTATTCTGTATATATTTGATTTGGCTGCAGCCAGTTAGTTTGGTTGTGGCCGGTTTATGGGAAGCATCATGCTAACCAGTTAGCATCTTAGTGCTAGCAGGTTCCCAATGGGAAATTCCATTGGGACCAAGTAGCACTAAATTGGTGACTTAGAAACGACGCTGTCAAGGAACGCTATGGACAGCGGAAACATGCAAGAGGAGGAGAGTTTAGTGTCGGAGGTCGTGGATGAGTCTCCTCCGTCATCCATTTTTTATTTAGAGGAGGAAAGCGGGGACGAAGATGTAGTGGAAGAGGACGCCAGGGCGGCAGAAGCTTGGTTTGGTGTAGAAGGCTTCCAGCCGTACATGTTTGAGCCCTTGCCTCGCTACGCTGCCAGTTCTGTTAGCTCTACGCCTGCCGAAGACACAGACGTCCATCCCCGTGAACACTGGGACGCAACTCAATGGGAAAGGAAAGGATTCTGATTCCAACCGCTGCGTATATTAGCTGCGACATATGAATCAAGATGCTATGACCGAAAACATTTATTTAATAACCGGCCTGCAGAAAATAACGAAAAAATTACACTGATATTAAGACAGGATGTCTGGTCTGATAAAAAGTACATTAATATAAACGTTTAAGCCACAATGATGTCACATTTATTCCTTCTATGTTTGTTTTATTATTTTTTTCTTGTCGTTCTTGTCGATATGCACCTCGCTCAGAGACAACAGCTGGAAACGAGCTTCATATTTACAGAAATGTGTACTATCCCTGACAAATAAACAATTAAATAAATAAAATCATGAAGCACGTTCCCCCCCCCAGCCAATCAGAACCAGCTCCACTGCACTGTTCCCATCAGAACCAGAACCACTGCACTGTTCCCATCAGAACCAGAACCACTGCACTGTTCCCATCAGAACCAGCTCCACTGCACTGTTCCCATCAGAACCAGCACCACCCCAGCCCATGAGACTCACCTCTCCCAAAGGCTGCACACATTGGGGTCTGTGGGATCCAGAGAGCTGCCCAGTCCAATCAGGAGGCCTAGAAGCTGCAGGACGGCAGAGGAGCAGGAGGTCTGCATGGTGCTGAGGAGGAACCAGAGGAGAGATGTTTAGACAGAGAAACCTGGACGTCTGATGCTGAAGCGGATCGTCTCACTGCAGACATTCAGGTGAACAGAGTTCAGCTTCTCAGGAACACCTGCAGGAGAAAACCTCTGAGCAGAGAGAAAAGCTTTGATGCTTTGAATTCCCACTGTGCTTAATGGACAGAACTGGCTCTGATCAGCAGCAGACTCCAGAGACGTGGCTCCACCATCATCCTGAGGGGCCTCCACACTCCTCTGCAGGAACATCTGGATCTGATCAGGGAGCCAGCTGAGTCCCGCAGCAGAGCTCAGGGCCTCTGGAAGGCTCCCAGGGAGCAGGAGGGAAACAGCTTCCAGAGAAATGATCAACATGCTCTGAGGAGGAGCAGGAAGCTCCTGATGGAGCTCTGACATCTGCAGAGCTTCTCAGATCATCTGATGGAAATCTATGGGATGCTTGACACATCTGAGAACAGATCTACGTGCTTCATAAAAACATGTCAGACATCTGGAACGCACGGCTCTACCTTAAAACAAACTTTATAGATTAAAACTTTTTGTCCTGATTGAGGATTTTTCCCTTTATAGTTACGGATCTACAGCCTGCGGATCTACAGCCTGCGGATCTACAGCCTGCGTATCTACAGCTTGACAATCTACAGCCTGCGCATCTACATCCTGTGGATCTACAGCCTGTGGATCTACAGCCTGTGGATCTACAAATTCATATGGATCTATTAAGAGAGCTGAATGATCTGATTGATATGGATCTATAAAGTGAGCTCAGCAGACATGTTGTTGGCTTATAGAGAAAATCCAATCAGATTATTGAGTCTCTCTTTCTGGATGATAATCTAGATTATCAGAGTATAGATTCAGCTTTGCTGCAGATCTGCAGAAAAAGAAGGAACATTTTTCCTTCCTGCTCCATGTTTACATCATCATCATCATCATCGCTGAAGTGTGGAAAACCTGCCTGCGGCTCGATGAGTAATACGTGGTTTTAATGTTTACAGAGTTGGTGGTTGAATTCCCAGCAGAGACAGTTTGTGAAACGTGTTTATCAGCAGGAATCAGGACTAGTTATCATTGAGGAGTTCAGCTTCTCTGCACATTTTCACCTAAAATAAGGCTAGCAGCCGGGTTAGCTTCTCCTCCGTTCGTCTGAAGAACAGCGACATTATTTAAGCTGGACATAAAATAACCGAGATGAACAAACCCTCATTAAGTCTCTCAGATGTGAAGCGAGAAGCGTCATAAACTCTCTGCTTTAAAATGGCTTCATTAGAAAAAGTTTTCCACCACAAGCAGATGGAAAAAATCGGAGAGAAAAAACACATAGAGGCACAAAAACAACATTTTATAGAGCAGACATGTGGCTTTATGGAGAGGACTGGGGGGGGGGGGGTTCATTACCTTCTCTGCTTAAAGATTAGGATTAGAATCAAACTTCATCCTCATTCCACTACAGCAAATACAGATTAACGAAATTTAGTCTCTGCCATTGTGTGGCGCCCAGGGAGCAGGGTGGGGTTAAGGGTCTTGCTCAGGGACCCAGAGTGGCAGTCTGAGGGGAGACAAACTCAGAACCTCGGGGATCTCTCTCTACGCCCTAACCACTAGGACGCACTTAATTGGCCTTCATTAGAGAAAAGCTTCACAGCACAAACAGACGGAGCTAAATGGGTGGGGGTGGGGGGGTTCAGGCTGACCCAGGATGAATAAACACGTCCAGAACCAGCCAGGGTTCTGTTTGGGTTTGGGCAACATTCATCCCTGAAGATGAGGCTTTGAGTCGGTCGGCTGTGGCTATTTTTAGATGCATCAATGATGGAACCAGCAGAACTTCTGGTTCTGTTAGAAAATACTTTGATGTGGTTCAATAAACCAGCAGAAACATCCAGACACAAACTCAGACTGCTGGAAGTTTCTGGGTCGGATCTCTGAGGAACCGTTATTGTGTTTTAGTTGACTCACCAGTCCATGTTTACAGCCTCAGCAGCACAGGAATGTTCTGAGCCCACAGCATGCCGGAACCGCAGAGAGGATTTAAAACACAAAGCCCAAATGTTTATTCCCCTTCACAGGTTGATGATTTTGTTGATGGGGTTGCTAGTTCTCTGTGTACTGCCTTAGACTCCTTTGAAAACCGTTAAAAATAGAAAGCTAGCTCCTTGGTTTAATGCAGAGCTGCGTACTTCGAAGCAAAATGCTAGAAAACTGGAGAGAAAATATCGCTCCACAGGCCTGCGGGAGTCCTTCCTAGTCTGGAAAAATGGTTTACTGCTGTATAAGAGGACCCTTTGTAAAGCAAGAGCAGCATACTTCTCCTCATTAATAGAGGAGAATAAGAATAATCCTAGATTTCTTTTTAATACAGTTGCCAAACCGTCCATTCCACCTGCTCTTAGCAGCATGATTTTATGGGATTCTTTATAAATAAGATTGATCTTATTGAAAATAAGATCATAAGCACTCCTCTATCCGCGATTGGTTTGTCTCTGGAGGGGGGGGGGGACTTTCAGAGTTAGCAAAACTATTGTCTTAATCTAAGCCTTCAACTTGGATGTTAGATCCAGTTCCAACCAGGTTATTTAAGGAGGTATTCCCTTTAACCAGGTTATTTAAGGAAGTATTCCCTTTGATCAGGTTATTTAAGGAGGTATTCCCTTTGATCTCCTCCTCCATTTTAGATGTGATTAATCTATCTCTGTTACAGGGATATGTACCAAAGGCTTTTAAATTATAGACCTATATCCAATCTTTCTTTCTGATCTAAAATTCTTGAGAAAGTAGTTGCCAAACAAGTTTGCGATCACTTCCACCATAATGAACTTTTTGAAGAGTTTCAGTCTGGCTTTAGAGCTCATCATAGCACTGAAACAGCTCTGGTGAAAGTCACTAATGATATTCTCATGGCCTCAGATAATGGACTTGTATCTGTGCTCGTCCTGTTGGATCTTAGTGCTGCATTTGATACAGTTGATCATAATATTCTTTTAGAAAGACTTGAATATTTTGTTGGAATTAAAGGAACAGCACTAGACTGGTTTAAATCTGATCTATCTGATCGAATTCAGTTTGTTCATGTTAATGATAGATCTTCAACACACTCAAAGGTTACCTGTGGAGTACCACAGGGATCAGTGCTAGGACCAATTCTCTTTACTTTATACATGCTCCCAATTGGTAGAGTTATTAAACAGCATGGGATTAATTTCCACTGTTATGCTGATGATACCCAGCTATATCTGTCTATAATCCAGATGAAGCTAACCCATTACATAGATTACAGGCATGTCTGAAGACAGAAAAACCTGGATGACTCTTAACTTTCTGCTTCTTGTGAATTGGCGCTATATAAATAAACTGCATTGAATTGAACTGAAATGGACCCATTTGTACGGTTCAGTTCTGACCTGGTGACAAACCCTTCTCATGGTTTCACTGGTTTCTGGTTCTGGTTCTGAGGCACAAAGGGACGGGTCTGGAGCCGTTTTAAGGACCTTTCTGGAACACAGTTATGGACCAAACGGGACCAGAACCTGAATGGGTCAGCAGAACTGTGCAGTCCTGATCCAGAACCAGTACAATAAACAGAAGACCCAGATTTCTAGACCAGTGAGAATGAATGAAAACAAAACCAGATCCTTTCAAACTCCAGCTGGTTCTGGTTCTGCTAAGTTATCCCTCCCAGTTTTAACACATTAATGAACAATATTTAAGCCAAAAGCTCGTTAACATCTGCTGTCTGTCTACGAATCTAAGCTAGACCATCAAAATGAAAAGGAGTAATGATTCACATAGTTCAGGAGAATAAAATACTGTAAACTAAATATTGGAAAACAACAATCTTTTAACAGCAATCTAACAAACAAGGAAGAACTTTTATTGAAATGATGTTTTAAATTAGAATAAAAAACTGAAGCATCAACTCTGCTGTAAAACCTTTGATCACGAAGGAAGCAGAATATATAAGAAGCATGAAATGTGTTGGATTCCTGGCCTGGTGTCTTTCTGCATGGAGTTAGCATGTTCTCCCTGAGCATGTGTGGGTTCTCTCCTGGTACTCCAGCTTCCTCCCACAGTCCAAAAACATGACTGTTAGGTTAATTAGCTTCTCTAAATCCTCCTTAGTTGTGAGTGTGTGTGTGAATGGTTGTTTGTCCTGTTTGTCTCGGTGTTGCCCTGCGATGGACTGGCGACCTGTCCAGGGTGGACCCCGCCTCTCACCCATTAATAGCTGGAGATAGACACCAGCACCCCTCACCACTCCACTTGGGATTAAGCGTGTCTGAAATGGATGGATGGATGAAATGTGTTGTGCAATGTGGCTATCATGGTTTTTGGACGTTGAGAACCTGTGTCCATGTTCCATCTTGACATGATGACCAGAGAAGAAGCTGCAGCTTTCGTGAATAAACAGCTGTGGAATCTCTGCAACCCTCTCCCCCCTTTCCCACAGAGGTGTGACCAACCACCCCCCTCTCTGTGAGAACAGAAGAAAACCAGCCTCTCTTTTCTTTCTCTATTCCCATGAGGCTGGCTAAGGTGCAAGTCCACCGGTTCTCCACCACAAGGGGACCCGGATCTCCAGAATCATCAAAGATAAGTCATCATGGACCTTTCACCTTTCAGAACCAAACTGCCACAAATCAGACATTGTGCAACACATCTCTCTTGAGTTTCAGAACTTTTCGAGCCAGACTGGAGAGAAGGACTGCCTTGATGAACCACTCAGACAAAGAGGACCCCTGGTTGTTGGCCTGACTGCTGAGCTGGATGAAACTCAAGCCTTCCAAATGGAAATGGACAAAAAGGTTTGCAGGTCTGGCATGATTAGGGACAGAACAGACAATATTTGAATCAATGTGTTTGCTGATGAGTAAAGTCAAGCTAAAGGAATGGACTGCATGCTACGCTATGCTACGCTACGCTATGCTACAGGAATATGTGTTGAGTTGTTGCTGAAGCTTTATTCCACTAAGAGGTTAAACA